CGTAATTATTCTCGCGCTAACGAAATTGTTCGTTGTTTTTTTTTCTCTTTTTCGCGCGCGCGCGCGCGCGTGTGTGTGTGTGTGTGTGTGTGCGTGCGTTTTTTATCCCGTATGGAGCCGATTCGCGAAAAGATCGGAACTTGTATTCGATACTTGCGGACGGTCGTCGCGAGCGGAGCGACGGCGTTAACGATCGCCCTGCGGAAACGCCCAAAGGCGACGGTAGCCGCATTTCGAATCTGACGCGCACGCACGCACGCGACACCCGTCGCCGCTTTTCGATTGTCACGCGCATCGTTGTAGGTATCGGTACGTACATGTGTTACATCGAGCGGCAACATCACGCAGAATGCCTGTCGAAATGGACCGGGGGGTAACAAGTCGAAACACGCCGGGGTAACAAGTCAATTCGCGGGTGACTTCGGTTCATCCCACGTGGCTCGTCGTATGTCAGCAAATGCCTCCGGAAGGAGGGAAAGAGAGAAGATAATAACGGATCGCGAGATGTGTCCTCGATATATCGCGCTAATATTGTACATGTGTATGTATGTATGTGTGTGTGTGTGTGTGTGTATGAATATATATACATATTTCTCGTTGAATCGAACGAGTCGCGATTGAAAAGAGACGAATTTTTGGATAATTCGTTTGTACTGTATTTTAATTGAGCTAATTACGAACGCTTTAATGCCGAATTCTGGCGAATGAAAAATTTATCTGCGCGCGCACGAGCGCCGCGTTCACGATAAAATTCGCACCGGGCGCAGACAATCGTGAAGCTAATATTGTCAGCAGCATGCGACGTAAATATTGATGCAATTAATTATTATTAATTACTTTCATTACGATGCACTTTCGCTTGTTGAATATTTCGCGCATTAAACGCGCGCGGCGAATACAATTATACGACGAAGCGAGAGAAGGAAGTGGCTCCCAGCACTTTCAGCTATTTATCTTCGTGTTATATAAAAGATACGCGTGTGCTTTATAATCGTTAACAATAACCGGTTCGCAGTTAAAGTAGGTTTTCCCTCACGAGAGATTTTCCCCCGCCGTATATTATCTCTCTCGCGCGTATATTTCATCTTCTGCAAAAAAATTGAGAAATCCAGATGTTAGTAATTAACTTGTCGCGTTAATTGAGTCATTATTTTAATAAACTTGAAGGAAGAAAAAAAAGGACACAGAGCAGCCCGCAGGCGCAATTCGTGTATATCTTGCGATCAGCGTTTCCCGAGGCGGGAACAAATGTCGCGTAATGTAATATAAAAAAAAAAAAAGCTTGTTCCCGCCCTCGGAAAGATGTAACTCTCCCTCTCTCATCATATATTCAAATATCTTTCGGACTCAGAACATAATACGGAATAAGAATATTATTGATATCGGGGGATAAGCGTTATTCGACAATTCAAAGGGTCGTTCCTTACCATCCGAATATTGAGCCACCCCTGATCTTTTTCTCTCTTTCTTCCCTTCCCCGTCTGACACCGTCTGCTCGCGACGTAACTTCTCATAAAGAAAGTCTCAACTCCTTCTCATCACGCTTCCTTACTCCCAAAGCGTGTCGTAAATGATTTCCCGTTCCGGATAATCTTCGATTTATACGTCGACATAAACTTCAAATAGCAATTAGAGCAATCGTGGAAATTATTCATTTATTCGTGTCCTCTCTCTCTCTCTCGGAAAGGATTGCTATCTGATGTTATTATTCAGTCAATGAGAGAACAGGAATACATTAAATATTGATTCGCTTTTGTACACTTAATGATATTAGTTGAAGTAAATTTGATTTATAATAAATTCGATATTTGACACGACCTTGTGTGAAACAATACTTATAATATTAAGTACACTCTTAGGTGATTAAGCGAAAGTATATATATATACATATATTTATGTATATATTTATGTGTTTCCTCATTCGCGGAGAGAGTTTAATTTACATTCGATATAGTTCTTTGATATTCAAATATACGTGCGAGTAAACGAGAGAGCGTATAAGTCTGACACAACACGCGCGAAAACGCATATATCAATAACCTGTTACCTACCTGTGTGCGATTTTCACTTCAAGACCTTGGTAAAAAGACCTTTCTACATAATTGTCTGATATTGCAAAACTTAGTTCCGAGTTAAATCAAAATTTAGGTCGCGCAGATGGCGAAAGAACCTTGCGCGTTAAGCGTTACCGCGCGTTACGCGACAAGATAATTGAATTTCTATTAATAAAGAGGATAATTACAGAGAGACAGTCGACTCATGTTCATGTTGTTTCCTGTTTAACGTGTTCCCCGTCCGAGAATGTCGTCGTAAAACTGAACAAAGTTTGGCTAAGCAAGAAGAGCAATAACCTAGATCGAAATATACCGATTCTTATTTCATGTCGCAAAATTAAATTTGAAATATCTATTTTTCTTATATATATATGTATATATATATATATATATATTTTCGAGTGAGAGCGACAAGTGACGCAAACGAATCAATCGAGTTTTAATTGTCTTAGAATTGCCTCGCGTCTTCGAATGCCGACGTTTGAGTATGTTTTGCTCTATTTACTCGTATTAATCTAGATCTAGGACGATCTTCGAATAGTTGGAGTTCCGGAACGAACTTGTTCGCTTTCCTCAAGCAAGACTCGGAGATAAGACGTGTGATAATCTTTCAAAAAAAAAAAAAAAAAAAAGAAGCACGTCTTACCGTTTTGTGTGATATAATTATATAACATGATTTTTTTGCCACAGACAGACTGTCCGATACAACGTCTATTCTATATCTTTTTGTCATGTGACGAGAATATTCCGTCACCGTAATAGCGCGAACATGTGTCGCGCAGCACGAGATCAATTCGCGTCTTCTTTTTAAAAACAGGCGAACACGACTTAACGCAAAATTTTCTCGTTTACTCGCACGTAATAGCACGAGCAGGTGTCGAGCGTTATATACGTCCCTGCGTCTATCGCCCACCCTCGACACGTCGTGACTTCGCTCACTAAAGGCGAGACTATTACTACGCAGGGTTGGATTGGACACGGGAAAAAGAAACCTCGACTTCCGGTGTATTAAGGCGCGATCGTGCTCGTTATTTTTCTTCGCAGCCGGAGAGACGCTTCCACATGAGGTGTTATCATCGTTCCCCTTTTTCGCCACCCTCCTAGTCTCTCTCTCCCTCTATCTCTCTCTCTCTATCTCTCTCTTTCGTTCTCTCTTATCCCTCGAATGACATGGGGTAAGACGAACGACCTGGTCATTTCGCGCGAGTCACTAAATACAGGGTGTGTCTTATCAATAAGAGAGAGAAAGGGTGTAATACGCGAAAATGTGGCACGACAACCACTCGTTCCTCGCGATAAGCTTTATAGATACCGATTTTCAAGATGTTTGGTAAAGAAAATTCAATTTTAAAGCTCGCCAAAGTTTATAGACCAGCGTGTACCTCGTGCGGTGAATCTTGCATGCATACAGAGAATATCTATCGAATCTCGCATCAAACTTCAAACTTATTTTAATAATTAATTTACAGTTAATTTCGAGAGAAACGCATTTTCTTATTAACCTCTCTCACTTTTCCGCGAAACTTTGGTCGAAATTTTTATAGCAGTTTTATTAAATTTTTTACGACACGTAAAAAAAAGAAACGTTCTTCTTAAGCGCTTCAAGGTAATATTTTTAATTATACAATTAACGGTACGAAAAATCATTATTATCCGTAACACTTCTTGGGCAATCCATATTTGAATTTTCAAGGCTAAGCGAGCCCGGAAATTTATCTTCGCTCTTGAGTTTCCGCGTGAGTAAAGTTATGCTCAAATTTGCCGCGAAGAAGCTGCTTAAGTTTGATGTAAACTTCACGAAACACCCCGTATACCGGGGGTAGATTCCGGTGCCTCCAATTTGTTTTCTCATGAATACTTTCCTCCGATCCTGGCGACGGCGTGAATGCACCACTCGCGCAGTCGCACTCGCAACAGATACAGGCAGCCGCCAGGAAAGTCGTTGGATTAAAACCCCGGGGTAAATCTCGACCATCCCTATTTTATGTAGCTTCCATATCCTTCGCTCATATATTTATGCGCGCAGATAAACAGAGAATGGAATATTAAAAGGTCTTTCTAAACGCGAATAACGTGAATCACATAAAAATATATATATATACATATATAATATAATTTAACATACAGCACATAATTTGCAGTGGAATTTATATCCAGATTGAGAGAGAGACTGAAAGAGAAAAATTAAATCACAAATTTGTACATGTATCAAAAACTCAATTATTTTTACATTTACCTGTATTATTTTACAACAGTATCTTAAATAATAAAATTGTACGCGAGAGAGAGAGAGAGAGAGAGAGAGAGAGAGAGAGAGAGAGAATTATACATTTTGCAAATTGCGCTCGAGATCACGCAACTTGAAAGTATTTTACAATTGATTGCGGTCGTTTGCACATGTGCAAATAATAATAATAAAGACTATCTCTTATTTGTGTTTATCCCAGGTGGATTAATACAACAAATCGATTTTCGTGCTACTGTTACTCAAAGATATCAAATGCTAACATTTAAAATTAAAAAACAATATTGAAGAGAAACGGAGATAAAAGTGAAATAATAAAATAATTCTCTCTTGATATTTTTTCGTTAAAGGCAAAGTGTACATTGTCAGGAATAACGGCAATGTGTGTACACTGTCTATGAATTGTAGGACACCCTGTGGATCCCCGTGCACCCGCTGCACGAACAGCCCTGTATGGCAGCGCGCTCGGCACGTTCTCCGCCACCACCGCTGCCGTCTCCGCCGCCTTCGTCGGCGTAGGGGGCTGTACATCGCGCGGGCATCGAAACGCGTCGAAACGCGAGGCGGCCGGATCGGACTAAAATCGATCGGCGCCCCGTCTCGCGCGCGTCGTCGTCCTCTCTCACGGTAGCGGCGGTTTATAGCGGCGTGTCCGCGCGACGAGGAAGCGTGCACAGCGCGTCGCACGCGACAGCACGCGTCTCTCGGCGAGGAGCCGAGAATTTCGCCCGTCCGTACGTCGTCGTCTCGCGGTGCGGAAAATCGGGTGAGGAGAGAGAAGAGGAAGAAAAGAGCGAGCGCGGTTTTCGTTTCGTTCTCTCGATGTAAAAGTCGAGCGCGTCGTGGGAAACTCAGCCGGTGTCCTCGATGCCGGTCCGCGATCGTTATCGAAATCGGACGTGAGCGAGATTCTCGCGCTGAGGCGGCAGTGTGCGCGAGATTTCCCTCTCCGGAAAAGCGTGAGAAACGACCGCGTTGACGTGGATGTTGGAATTTCAGCCGGTGGTAAAGTGGAATGAACGATTTGGCTCTCGCAGCAAGTGCGCGTGTGATCGGGAGTACTTTGATGAATTGAAAATTAGGCGATAATTGAGAAGATTGGAAACACATACACACAGAGAGAGAGAGAGAGAGAGAGAGAGAGAAAGAGAGAGAGGAGAGAGAGAAGATTTGGAATTTTTTGGAAAACACACGATCGACTGGTGCGCGCGACCAGCTGTATCCACAACGAAAAAAACTCGGTCGAACCATCAATTACGCCTATTAAAAGGCAAAACGATTAATACTGTTAAAACAAACTGGGAAAAAAGCTGAAACGCCAGAGTTTGATACTAAATACCCTTTGAAACGTGTTTTGGGGAAGAGAGAGTGTTAAGAGCGGATGAGTGCCGAGACGGGACACAGAGGCGAGAGAGATCGACGGATCGTGTGCGAGCAACCCTGTGTATATTCGATGTGGTGAAAATTTTTGTGCTGTCAAAAAGTAGAACACAATTTGCGCCAACTAAAAAGGCGGAACGCGCTCGCGTAGCGCTGTTGAAAAATAGAGTCGATTTATTCAGGAGGGAATTTCGCGTGCATCGCGCTCATCGGTTTCGAGTATTTTATCGTTTTTTATGCGTGTTTTATATATGTATATATATCATCGTTTTCTCGTCTCTCTTTCTACGTGGCCGATCACCGGCACACTTTATACACGTTACATTCTCCTGACAGTCTTTCCTAACGAAAAATCCCCTCCGAAATATAATACAGGCGGATGATTGATCACGGCGGAAATTGTGAAGCAGCACAATAACAGCGGAAGTATCGTCGCGCGAGTGTGTCCAAGTGCACGCACGCACACCTCGTGCGCGCGAGCTGGTCCACCGATCTGTCATCGCCATTGTCGAATCGCCTAACGGCTATTCCTAAGCCACCCCCTCCCGCGCACCAATCGCCGTAGGGATAGTCGTGCCGCGGAGAAACGATAATCTCTCCCTCACGGAGAGAGAAAAGGTGGTGCTTCGTTAGGACGCGCGTTGCGCCATTTCAGGTGCGAGTGCCTCGGAGGCCTCGCTCTCGAGTACTCTGGCGTGGCACCTCGAGGTGCTTTAACGCGGATCTTCTCGGGGAATCACGCGGACGAGGAAAAGTATTCAAACGGACATCAAAAGAACCGGTGATTAATGAACGCGGGTAATTAAGAAACATTAAGGAAGGCTGCCGAACGACTCCTCGAGATCTTCGTACTATTCGAAGAGCGTGTCGCTCACCCCGCCTCCACCCCCTCGAGAGGATCCTCGCTGCCGGAGGACATCGCCGCGGGGTTGGCGGTGGGAGGAGGCCGTCTACCCCCGAGGTAAGAGCGAGGGAGAAAGGGATAGACAGAGAGCAAGAGAGAAAGAGAGAGAGAGAGAGAAAGAGGGAAAGGGAAGGTGAAAGAGAGAGAGAGAGGGTGGGAGGCCTTTAGGGGTGGAAAATCGTTGGAGAATACCGTCGCGGTGAAATCACTCCTCTCGAACACTCGCGAGACGATCAGACCGCGAAGCATCCCCCGCCGTGCCGTCCTGCTCCCTTTTGCCTGCCGTCGTCCCCTTCGCCGGTCGGGCAGAAGTGGAGGAAGTGGAGTTGTCTGATCTTGGACGGAATGACAATAAGACTCTTCTTTGATTAATCGACGGGAGAATTAGTTCTCTTCTCGCCGCGAGCTCTACTCGTCGCGGCGCGGAGATTATTTTGCAAGTGCTAAGAAGTTTTTCTCTTTCCGCGAGCGCTCACAGAGAAACCGGTTTAAATATGTACGTACCGCAACAACGCGCGATTTCAATCCAAACACCGCAATTCGGGAATTGAGCGACGTAACCGCGAAGTAACGTCGTCGGGCGCGCTGAAATATCACATCCACTAAAACCGGCGAGGATTATCAAGATAAACCATTAACGTTTGCGATATTAAAGGAGGATCTTTCAAGCGCGCGTCAACCTGTGGATCGTCGCGAAACCCGCAAAAATAAGATCGCGCAACGAGTGCAATGAGGTGCCACGATTAATCACGTGGAGTGTGATTAACGACTGTCGATTGTCCGGCGACTTGAAGAAAACTGGGGGCGGGCGAGAGGTGTTAAGTTGCTCGACTAATCCCTCCGTTGCATCCGGCCGTCGGAAACTTTCCAGACACAGAGTAGAGCGGGGATACGGCGTGCGACAATAACGCGAATGAATTCGGGAGGAGACGGGATAAGTAGAGTGGATCGAAATTAGAATCGTGTGCAGCCGGTGGAAGAGGGTCGACGGTTGATCAGGCGAACTGGCCGGCCCGAGCTCAGCTCGCACTCCTGAAAAGAACTCATTCGCCTAAAAAGATCTCTCTCTTTCTCTCTGTTTTTGTTCCTCTCTCTCTCTCTCTCTCTCTTTTTTTTCACTACATACAACTCGTCTCCATAAAATCGTATTATACACGCAGACGAGAATTATTCAGCTACAGTGCGTTCTGCGGCGTGGGGAATAAACGCGACAACAACGCGTCGGCGTATTTTAACGATATATCGAAAATAATCCGTGATAATCGATCACGCGTTGTTACGCGGTGAAATATCGACGAAATTCTGACGCCGAGAGAGAGATCGTATGTTTTCGAATGTCCATCTTTATTTGCGCCGCGACACACGTCCGTTCGGAACGCAACAGTGAATAATCTGGACCCTCATGCATCTTCCCGGACGAGCGACGAACGCCGGAATGTAATCGACAACGATAACCGGCTCCGATAACAAATCACGGCGAAGGCAGCGAGGAAAAATTACGTGAATCTGGGAAAAAAAAAAAACGAAGAGCAAAACGACGAAGATAAGTGCAAGCGCGAGAAAAAAAACTGTAATTCGAGAGCCGATAGATGCAGGAAGATAAACGTAAAATGAGTACACTCTTTAACACACAACGACGAGAGAGAGATTCGATATATATATATATATATATATATAATTGAAGGCAATATCTCCGAGAGAAGATAATCTGGCGAGAGTGGACTACCCACGTGAAAACATCGCCGAATAGTCGCTGGTTGAACTTGATATACGGACGTTCAATTCATTATTCAAAGCGACGATATATTTTAGTCGCGGATCGATTCGAAAAGGGGATAAATATAGTGACGGTAATAAGTGCGACAAATATTACTCCAGAAATATCGGCGATTGCTGTACTGTGAAGGTTTGTCAATATCACTTCTATTCTTCGTACTGATTCGTCTATCAATAGTCCCCACCATATTGGTATTTTGACAAATCGTTTCGACGAAAGTCGTTCGTTTTTGCGCGCAGTTGTCTTTTTTTTTTTTTTTTTTTGAATATAAAAATTCTGAAAAAAAAAGTACTTTTTTCAACGATAAATTTAAGTTCAAATTTTGTAAAAATACACTTTAATCAATCGAAAGTACCGTATAAAACGAGCAGAGTAGCGACAATCCTCTCGCGCTGACTTAGCAGTGATAGAGTGCAACAAAACGCGGATTAAGAGCGCGGTGAAAAACGCGAGCATTTGTCAGCCAGGTACTTGGACGGTTTTCTTGGAAAGAAGAAGAAGAATAAGAAGAAGAAGAAGAAGAAGAAGAGAAGAGAGTGAGTCTTCGAACTTAAAGGATCGCGCTGCGAGAGCGCGTCCCGCACTTTCTCGCGTTCCGCTGCGCGCAACAGTTCGGGACAAAAGGTGCTGAAAAAAAGTCGGCGGGCCGTATCTCGGAAGCGTGGAATGACAATAAGGAGACGCCGTAGCCGCGGGGTGGTATTATGCATGGGACAACGGATTTGAGCGCGACGGCGGCCAGTCGCCGCGCAGCTAGGGTGTCGGCGCATCCCTTTCGCGGGATGGCACTCGGGACACTGGCCGAGATCGCGGTGAGACTCGTGATTAGCGGCTACATATTCGCCGTGGTCGTCTACGTAAACGCCAGCGGCACCTGGGATAAGGACAACGATAAGGACAATGCCCCGGGTAAGCGAGGGATCGAGCGCGCGCGACGCTTCCTCCACACGAACAGAGTCGGGGATTAACCGCTTTGCCTGACTCGCGCGAGTGTACGCTATGCATGTCGAGCATGTCCCAGAAACACCCACTCACGGTTATCCCCCTAACTGCAGACTCCGCGGAAAATTCGCCCTTCTCTTTCCCTTCCCGATTCTCTCTCTCTCTCTCTCTCTCTCTATCTCTCCCTCTGTTCGTCGATATAAAAATCCACGCACGAGTCATCTTTTACTTTTCCAACTCTCTCTCCAATTTTCACACAGCGCGCGTTGCGCACATCTCTATATATACATATATATATATACGTACATATATATATATATATATAAAACGAGTTGAAATATCGTTAAAGTATAAAGTCCGCTCTTTCCTAGTTAATTGATAAATATACTTATTTACTTAGTGACGGAACAATATTTATCAGTTAACTTTAAGCGGACTTTGCCTTAACTAAATTTCAATTCTGAAATTGAAGATGCCGGAAGTTTAGTTTGCGCAAAACTTATCCAATTGCTAATTATTCGAAAAGTTCATCGATGCCTCTATATTCTTGTTAAGGATCGATATTAGCCAATGGTTGTTACAAGCTTAATTCGATGATTTTTTAATGCGGTGCAGCAGTCGTGCGTTTTTATCAAAATATGGTGAAACACGACAACAAACATTCACAGAAAGTATTGAAATATAATATTTAAATGCAGGAAAGAGATATATATATATATATATATGAGAATATTTGTATACAAGAAGAAATGTATTTTTCATTTTTATTCTCATCAGAAGAGAGAATAAAAAAGGAAAATCTTACTAACGATATGTAACTTTAATAACAATAATATCTTCTAGAATTTATTATATTATTAGCGCAATGTTTTCATATTTATAAATACGTACGATTTGTCAAGCAAATTTATGCTTAGCAATTCCAACGCTGGTTCTTTGTTTTATTTTATTTTCATATTGCACAGTTGCATCGCGCAGTGTGACATAATAAAAAGAGACAATTCACTTAACCAAAATTATGATAGATCTGTCCTTAATTTTACCGCTAGTTTCGTTTGCCCGTGCACATTCAGCACATCCGGCACAAAACGCAACTCTATACGGCTTTTGTGCGCAAAATGGAGAACCCAATACAGTATTTCATAAATGCATATTGAAAAGTGGAAAACTGACACAGTCATAAAACTGAAAACTGTTAAAAATCGATATTTACAAAGTGACGGAATTTTTTAAATAAAAGGTGGTTCTCGGCAAAATGTGTGTGAGAGAAAGTCCAAAATATCCTCTTAAAAGGTCATAAAATAGTAAACGCAAATTAATATGCATCTGGCCTTGATCGAAAGCGCCGAAGCTTTTAGAACTTTTGAATTTATAATCCGCGTCCGCTCAAAGTTATTAAAAAATTTTCAATCGTAACTATCTCTCTATTTATACTTGCAATTACATTTGAGAAGCATCTGTCTATGTCTTGTATATATATGATGTATATAGTAAAATATACTAGTTTTTTATATACTAGAGGTTTTGAAGTTCCCTAAGATTAAAAATTTATATTTTCGTTCAAATTGCTGCAAAATGTACAATAAAAGTTTTAATAGACATATTTAATCCTATAAAAGGATATTTTTAATGATTTTAAGTAAGTAATTATAGTTTCAATAGTTTTTTACATTTTAATTAAATAAAATGTTACTTTTAATCCACAATTAAACTCTCGGCATTAGTTTTAATCTTGTAATTTGAAATTTTGAAAGTGTTAGTTTATATATAGGGATAGAAAAGTACTTGGTTGTATTTTATGCTGTTAATAAAAAAAAGTTAAGTAAATAATCAACTTCTAGTGCCAGGGACTAATTATGGAAGAAATTTTGGTTATTTGTGATAAATCAATAAAAATAATATATTTTATAGTCAAAATAAAGAAATTAACTTAAAAAAAACAAAAGAATATTTTATACAATTGATAATATATTTCTCTCCAATTAAACTATATATAATGAACTAAATAACTAAATAATTAAATAACTAAATATAAACGAACAAATAATAGAATAATCAAATATAATGAAAAAGAACCGATATTGTGTAAAACCAATATTAACAAATGTAGCTATGCTATTTTTAATTTCTTACAATTTAAAAACGAATAAATTAGAGACATTGTTCAATAGATTTCGACAAGTTGGATGGTGAAACCACCGTTTGCACTGTCGGATTAGATTTAAAGTAAGATTTAAATTAAAAGTATTTATTTGTTTATTATTTAGATTGAAAATAAATTGAAATGTGATATCTGACTATTTTTTATCACTAAGATTGTTTATATTGGTGCCAAAAGTTTACAATATTAAATTTTAATTAATTTCAGTTACATATTTTAAATGGTATAGCAGCAAATTGTCGTAACATTTATATCGAAAAGAACATCTGCGCACATACTTAACTTGTACTTAGCATATCAGTGACTTTTTATGATAGTTTATGCTATTTGCCATTTTATCTGGTAAAATCTTGAAACTATAGTTTTTTATATTACACTTAGAATAAATGTTCTTATATTACACTTAAAATAAATGTTTAAATGTACTATCTTATTCGACATTCGATTTTTTGGCTTAATAAATTTAATTAAATGTCTTATAATAATCTTAATCATAGCCAAATATAAAACTAATTGAGCACGCTCACGAAACCATTAAAGAATTTTAGAATGTATGTTATCAAGTATAAATAGAATATATTATCTAGATATGTAAAAATAATTCGCAACTAGGATGATATTCAAATCTAATGATTTTGCCATACGTTTATTCCAAGTTATTTTTCATTTACATTCGCGCGTTGTCGATTTCCATTTACATCTCTTGATGTGTATAAAACTGAAAAAAAAAATGACACGCGTTTAAATAGATCGAACAGATAATAATCGTGCTGATACGATGCTAAAGAAGATAAATGGCTCGTGTAGCGCGTGTATATTTTTCACCGGTCCGTCACAAACAAACGTAGAAACGATATCCTGCCGGAAGAGTTCCCGTATTCGTGTTACAGACGTCGTTCGATTGATGAAAATTGCGGCGTATCGGAAAACGGGAAATCAGACGCGCGCGCGTTGCCGCTGCCGTTGCTTGTCGCGATACCGGAAATCGCGTAGAACGCGCGCGGCTGGTACTCGCTTCAAAAGAAATGTTGCGCGACGTAATTATATCTCGCGCTGCCAGGCGGAAATTCTCCATTATGCGCGAAAACGAACTTCATTAGTGATATTTTTCAAGCTGCTTGCACACACACATAAATACATACACACACACACACCGTGCTGCACACACATACATCGTGACTGTATTCGTAAGAAGCAAAGCGGCTTTCTTTTTATACAGCGCGCGAGACAAGACTCGCCCTCCTTCTCTCTCTCTCTCCTCTCTCTCTCTCTCTCTCCTCTCTCTCTCTCTCTCTCTCGTGTTGGAATAGAATGTTAAATTGGCGGAAAACGTCTCGTAAAACCTCTACATATTCCTGATGCGACTTTATTCCGCGGGATGAAATGATATTACTCAAAAGTCGGAGTTCAGAAGCCTCGCCCGCGCCGCGGTGTTACTTTAGTGCAATTTAAAATCACGCCAAACAATTTGAAGGAAAAATTTAATCCCAACTTTTTTTTTCTCCCTGTCACTTCCTTTTCTCGCATTGCGCTAAATCTCATTTACTTGAATAGCTTGTGAGTAATTTTACTTATAATACTCGCTACTAACTTAATAACTCGCTGCGTTCTTTTGTAAAAGCTAGCGTTACAGTTCATTTAACTTATTAACCATAAAATTAACAATTCAGAAAATGTCATAAGTTATTAAATGTAATGGCCTTGCATATAATATAACGCTTCTAAATTATATTGTAATATTTGAAATTGTGTAATATTATACAGCAGTGGCTCTTTGTGCACATTTGTTAAAATTATTAACTCAATAATTACTAAGCGACCCGTAACACTAGCTTTTATGTTCTAAGAAAACAGAAAGAGAGAGAGAGAGGGAGGGAGAGAGAGAGAGAATTTTATTGTAAGTAAAATTATTCAAAAGTATTCAAGTTAATAAGATTTAACCGAAAGAAGCTATGCGACATCGTTACTCTCATTGTTACCGAAGCAAGAGAAAATTGTTAAAAACGAGATAAATGCAACTAAAATAAACCGTCCATAAAGCAATAAAATTAATGCAACAAACGAAAGTTTTTTAAGAAATTTGTTATCTTATTTGCCTAATTTTGATTCGTTCAATAAAATTGAATCGATGATACACAGATTAAAATCTAAATCGATGTACATAAATGTTCTCCAAACTTCGTTTAGCCGCTTCGATTTGATTAATCGTGTTTCTTCAACTTCCCCCCCCGCAGTGTCTAAGTCTACAGTCAGCGCCGTACTCGGTCGTACCGCCACATTGCCTTGCGACATTGAGCCGTCCATGCGAGAAGATCGCGTCTACATGGTACTGTGGTTCCGTGATTATTCAAAGAAGCCCATTTACAGGTAAGAAAACAAAGGCAGCGCGCGACAAAACTTAGCGCGCGCGCGCTCGTGAATCTAAAGAAAACAATAGAGCGAGTATAAAAATATTGCGAGAAGTATAATTAACGAGAAGAACTTGCCGCGCGAAGAGACGAAATTTGTCTCAAGCGAGACTATGTGAAAAAAAACTTCATTCAGCTTTGACGTGCGCGGACGGGCGTTCAACAAGGCCCTGAACTGGTCGGACAGCATCTCGGTGGGGCCCAGAGTCTCTTTTCACACGATGACGAAGCCCGCCGCGCTCTCGTTGGAGGCGGTGCAGCTGGACGACGAGGGGATCTACAGATGCCGCGTGGATTACAAGAACTCGCCCACCAGGAACTTCCAAGTGAATCTCACGGTGATCGGTGAGGGAGAACTCATTACCGTGTAACGACCGTGTAACATTGCTCTCTCCGGGTATGATTAACTGCCGGCGCCGCTGCCGCGCCGTAACGTAAAACGCTTTCTGGATCGTCCCGCGAGAAAAAAAAAGGAGAACAGCCAGGAATTAGCTGCAGTTAGCGTCGGGCCGGTATGCGCTGCCGCCGCCGCCGCCGCCGCCGAGGTCCTTCTCCTTCTCTTACCCCCTTGGTTTTTTTCTTTCTCTTTTTTTTTTTTTTTCATCTCGATGCAAAGTTAAACTTGCCGGGAACAATCTCGCTCCCGTCTCTCTCGCGGTTTCGCTAATTGAAGGGCCCCGGCGCAACGGACGAGCGGCGTTGGTCGATCTAACCCACTTTTCTCGCGAAGAACTTCGGGGAGAATTAATCGAAATTTCATTTTTGCAAGTTTAAAATTAACTTTCGCGAGCTTCTTTAAAAACCTAGGGCTGCGCCGGAGCCACTTGAGCCATTATCCGTCAATTATGGTAAGCGAACTTCTGTGTTCGCGTGTTATTGTTCGCAGTGCCGCCGCACCAGCTACTCATTTATGACAGTTCTGGGGTGCAGGTGGAAAACATCGCCGGGCCATTTCAGGTCGGCGTCGAGTTCGGCCTGTCCTGCGAAGTTAGAGGAGGTAGGTCCTCCGTCCTCCCCATATTTAGATTGTTAGGGTAAATTGCTTTTGTCGTTACGTACACCTACCATTTGCGCAGACGGAAGAGACCCTACACTTATCTTCATATTATCTTTATTTGTCTCGCGAAGACACACACACACACACACACACACCTATTTATTTTACATTACTGACTCCTGTTTCATAATGTAATAACCGTGTTGCTATGGCTACCTCTTCTTTGTTGTCACACTTGACAAGTTCTTTGGTGGATTTAGCGTTAACGACGAAAACAGTTAATTAAACTTATCCAGCACTACAGCTTACACATATCAAAGGCATAGATTTGTCATATATAATTTATCTCCGTATAATTAACTGTCTTCGAGATTTCGCGGTTAACATCAATGATAACAAGACAAAAGATAAAATGTCGTCTTCCGAGGTGAGATGAATTTCTCGCGATGTGTACTCGTCGGCGGAAGAGAGAGTGAGCGCGCGCGGCAATGAATTCACCGCTTGCGCGATTCCCGTCACGCGTTCTCATTTGCAAAATTTTATCCCGTTAATCCAGTCTTGAGAGAAATCAGGCTTTCTCATTAATATGTTTAGTCAGATACGAATCTCAGAGCCCGAGAGAGCGAGTGACAAATTACCCTCTGGCTGGTCCCGGGGCGTTATACGCGTAACACAACCCGTTCTTCTCCATCTCTCCTGTGTGTGTAAATCCTCGAGTTCTTCATCGCGATCGCGTGAACAAGTGAAAAAGCGAGGTAGATATCGGCGTGCGCGCGCGCGCGGGGGACTATTCATTCGCAATTAAATACGAGACCGGCCGTTAAGTGGTTGGATATTACGCGGGCGCGCCCGATCGGAGACACCCGATATTAAGGGTAATTATGGCCCCGGTGATTTGTCCGCTGTCACGCGAGGCGAGCGCTGATCGACGAGGACGCACGACGGGAGGCACAAACGGGAGGGGAAGTTAATTAGCCGCGTATAATTTCTGCGCTTTCCGTGCTTTCCGACCGGTCCCGCGCCAACGCACAAAAGGAAAGCCCACGCCGGAGGTGAACTGGCTGGTGAACGGCAAGGAGGTGGACGGCAGACTCGAGGAGAGTTTCAGCCAGAACGTCGTCGTCAGCAAATTGACGGTGCCGCAGCTGCGACGCGAGCACCGTAACACCACGTACAAATGCCGGGCGTCGAACACGCACCTCATTCCGCCCTTGGAGAAGACGGTGATTCTCGACGTTTATCGTGAGTGCTTTTTCTTCCTTTTATCTTTTGTCTCACGGGCCTCGGAAGGATTTAATTCCTTTTAACCCTTTTTGAAAAGAGACCAAAACTTATTATATTTAGACGAATAAAATAATAACGTTCTCCCTTTCGGACATTTATTCCGGGCTCCGGTTTCTTACGTTTCTTCGGCGAGGGAAAGAAAATTCTCACGGATGTGAAAATGACTTTAATTTTGCTTATTGCTTCGGTGCGCGTAAATCTTCTGATATAGGGGTGAGAAAATTTACGGCGAAATTTACTTCACTCTTTTTTTTCTCTCCCCTACGCGCAACGAAATGATTCGTTTTAATTTTCTTTCATATATATGCGATGTGAAAAAAAAAAGTGAGAAGTGATTTTTAGTTTTTAATATACATCACGAAATAATAAAAGAAAACCTTAATAAAAGATCGAGAGAGAAACGTTGTAATGAAATTAAAACGTTGAACCGCCTTTGGTTTGTTGTTATACACAAAGCGGAAGCGATTGCATTTAGAAAGTCAACGTGAGTGTATCAACGTTACAAAACGCGAAGACCTCAATTAAATGATGTAACGAGTATATTTGACACAAAAATGGCATTCATTTGCCGCAATATTGGTCACACAATCTCTAATTAAGCTTTTGCAAAGTTAATCAAAATCCCCGCAGCATTCAACCCGTCAATAATGCACATTAGTTAAATTTCGACCGCGGAAAGTAATCCTTTCACGTTTACGTTATCGACTCGATAAATTATTGACAGGTCGGAAGTAGGAGGAGGCGTCGACTCTGGCATATAAATAATCATAGTCCGGGCAACCGTGAAAATAAATATTTAATTTCCCTTCAATTATTCAATGTGACCAAATCTCGGGTCGAACGATCTTCTATCCTGTCCGCGCGCATCTCGCAAACAAGCAGTTTTGTTGTAGACAGGGAGATATTTGTAGTCTGCGAAAGTGTGTGTGTGGAAACGACGAAATTAAAGCGTTACGTCAGAATGACTACGTATGCAAGTGTCTCGTCGTTAAAATTTTACGTCGACGTTTTAAATCTTTCTTTCTCTCTCTCTCTCTCTCTCTCTCTCTATAGTATAAAACATTTGCGAAATTAGTTTCTGTTACATATATAGTTAAGTAACGAGGAGCGTAACATTACGTTTCAACTCCGTTACATGAAAGTTGTCATAATAATCCCGCGCAATTTTCACCCTCGCAATTTGATCTCTAAAATGTCAGAGAGAATAATAGAAAAAAAGAAAATAAAACATCTTCATTATTTGCGAGATGACACGCAATAAAGGTGATCCACCCCTCCCCCTCCGGGTTGTTTCCAGTAAAACCGCTCAGCGTGAAGATATTGTCGAAGCTAGCGGTCATGGAGACGGAGAAGGACTACTCCATCACCTGCGAGGCGACAGGCTCGCACCCCCGCGCCCGCATCACTTGGATCGAGGGAAACGAGACGTTTCGTAACGGCAAGGTTCGATAACGTTGCTTTGAAATATGACGCGCCGCGCGTTTCGTTCTCGCACTTGCGAACGAACGACGACGCGGAGTGGTATATATATGTATATATATATATATATATATAATATGTCGTATATATATATACATATATATATACGACACATTTTTTGACGTCGCCGCCAACGCGATCCCCAATTTCTCGAATATATGTGCCAGCAGGTAATGGAGAGCGGCAACGCCTCGGTGGTTCTCAGCACGCTGATATTTTCCCCCGTCCCGGACGATCACGGCAAGATCCTCAAGTGTCGCGGCGAAAATCCAGCCCTGACGGACGCGTACTTGGAGGACTTCTTCAAGTTGAATGTCGTCTGTAAGTGGCGCGCCGTCGCGCGCAACTTTGAATCTCTCTTATTTTACACAAGCCGCGGCGCGTGAAAAATTCATCAAGGTTGTTCACCGAAATTAACTCCTCACACATCCGTAAAAATGTAACACAGTGTCCGATCGCTTTAACATAATTAATTTCTAACAATTATTAATTTTAAACTGCGTAAATATTTTAATACGGTACTAATGCATTTCGCCTGTAAAACCGTGTTTTCTCATCGTATTATCGGTTATGCAAGAACATGTAAGTCTGAATATATGCATGCACATCTATGAACGTGAAAGTTCAACGGTTAATTAATTTTAATTAGCTGCACTATGTATACATACATACATATATATATATATATATATATATATATATATACACATATATATATATATATATATATATATATATATACACATATATGTATATATAGCAGCGAAACGGTATGTATTCGTTTATACGACTGATAGCACTAATTTAGAATCGACATTTAAATTATATAGACAATTATATTCAATATATAAGTTTCATCTATATCGCGTATATATCTATTATTCTCTCGAATAAGAATTGAAAATCGTTGAAATACCGTTAAACTCTGGTTTTTTGATCGCTCCGATATTTCCATTATTATTTCGAAGGAATGGAATATTTTATTACGAGACCGCAGTGTGTTCGTGTGTATGTGTGTGTGTGTGTGTGTGTGTAAAATTATTAAAGCGTCGAAATATTCTCTCTTCTCAGTTCCCCCGAAAGTACAGTTGTATCTGGGTAGTACCCTGAAAGCGGAGAATATAAAGGAGGGCGATGACGTGTACTTCGAATGCAAAGTCCGTGCCAATCCGGAGCATCACAAGATCACTTGGCGCCACAACGTAAGTCCTCGGCATCAGCACGAATGATTTCCCGTTTTAAGTGCCGACATGTTCCAACCGCTGAAATTAGCATTTCGTTTTCGTGTAGATCTTGATGATTCGCGGCAATTAATATTGGATCTCGCGAGGAACACACGTTAAAATCCGACAAAGAACATGAAAAATTTCCAATCACAATTTTGCTCGTCCCCTTCTGTCTCGTCATTTTCGCTCTCTTACCGATGAAACGTATCGGCATCAAAAAGCACATCGCTCCGAAAAATCTCAATCTCTCGTTGTGTTAAAGCGTTAATCCATCAATGACACAGGGCGCCGTGCTGACGCAAAACCAATCGGCCGGCATCATCATGAGCACGCAGAGTCTGGTGTTGCAGAGCATAGGTCGCGACAACGCGGGTAACTACACGTGTCTCGCCAGTAACGATCGCGGGGAAGCGACAAGCCCGATCGTGAATCTCAGAGTGCAGTGTGAGTATAGACGCGATTAGCGCGACTTCGAAACGACGACGGAGCAAGAAACTTCGAAAAGCAAATCTGTCGCGCGCGTCGACGAACGGATTCGCCGATGTGGATTCGAGAGGATTAATCGAATTTCAAGTTAGAAATCTTTCCTTCCGTTATTTGAATGAAAGTGTAAAGAAAGTAAATCGTATCACAGTAAAAGCGACGTAATAATTTCGCGCTTAATAATTTATGCATATACATCATGAATTATTGAACATTGCTGCATACATTACTTATCGCAATAAATATTTGTGCCAAATAATATTTAAATACACAATTAAAATAAATATCAAAATAAATGTGTATAAATAATAAATATTTCTCATTAAAGGTAAAATATCTGAATAAAAATACGTATTATTGACACGTAAACATTGGAAAATGTTCAAGATTATTATTACAAGAATATTTCAACTCGCTTACCTTTTTACGGTTAAAAGTTACATTTAACGTTGTTCTCTTTCTCTCTCTCTCTCTCTCTCTTTCTCTTTTTCTCTTTCACACCTGCTCGTGTCCGCGCACCCACCGATAAACTCCAAAATATAACGTAACACAATATGCCAACTGCGCTTAATTGTGTTCGGGAGCGAAATATCTCGGACGTCAGATATGAAGGATTACATTTTAGAAGCCAATTTATTTTCAACCCTCCTCTATCCCGGCCCCCACAGCGAACAACATAATTCTCTCGATTAAAGGCGAATAAAACGAACGTTTAAACTCGAAAATATAATCCCGCTGTCGAAGTTTGTTACGATCAATATAACGGGCAACAAAATCGCGTTTCTCTTTGGGTTTTCTCGTCGTCGAATTAAATCCCACATTTTTGCAACACACGAAATACAAAAAAAAAAAAAATACTCGTCGCGACGGAAGAGACGCCGAATGTGAATCATTTCTTTTTTTTGTTTTTGTTCTTCTTGCATGTGTGTGCGCGCAACAGTCGCGCCGGTTTGCAAGATGAAGGAGGTGACGATCATCGGCGCCTCGTTGGAGGAGACCGTGAAGGTGCGATGCGAGGTCGAGGCCGATCCCAGCGAGGTGGAATTCGAGTGGGAGTTCAACAACAGCGGCGAGAACTTCGAGGTCGCGCCAGCCAAATACGACGACAACAACGGCACCATGAACGAGCTCATTTACACTCCCCAATCCGAGAGGGATTACGGCGCTCTGACCTGTCGGGGTAGAAACGCGATAGGGAAGCAGGAGGTGCCCTGCATCTATCAAGTTATTCCGGCAGGTGATGGTCCTGTGAGATCTTTAAACCGCATTTATCATATTAAGAAGACGAAATTTCCGGGCGGAAATTTATTTTGTTTGAATTTTTCATTGAGAATCAACGTCGAATTTGTTCCCTATACTCGCTTTCTTCCATCCGCGCTATCTCGGGAAGATAAAATACATTTATCGAGGATTCCCCTCCGTGAATATTTAAATACCCGTCTGCCTTTCGTTGTAACATCGCGTTTCGTAAACACATAATAGTTTTAGATATTTATATATCCGGCGATATATATATGAATATTTAAAAACATATTACATGTTTACGAGAGTATAAATGTGTTTTTTGTTCCTTTCAGTCGCTTGCAGTCGGCTTTTCACATAAACTCGGAAAATATCCGTTTATGCTTTAATCTTAGTTTTCCCGCGTGCGATGCAAAACCTGTCATCCTATTTCAGTCTGCGCTTGAATTGTTTTCGCTATATATATAAGTACGTATTTGATTCAGAGATGTCGTGCGATTAAAAAAAAAATATATATATATATGTATATATATATATATATATATGTGTGTGTGTGTACATACATATATATATATATTTGCTTTAACGAGATGTATTTTTGTCTAATTATGTCGCGTGTACATCTTTTTATGTGTATCATTGTGTTTGCATTATTTTCCGTGTACATTTGTGTTGTTAAACACATTGAGAATAATTCTTTAAAGGCAGCGGCACTCGCAAAGATATCCTCTAATTAAGATCAAAATTCAATTTGTGCGAAGAGACGATGTTTGCAAAGGCTTCTTCTTCGTGACGGTGAAACGATGTGTGTGTATATGTGTGTGCAGTGAAACCGAATCCACTGAATAATTGCACCATCAAGGCGTCGCTCAATCAGAGCTCGGAGATTCTCGAGGTCGAGTGTGTGCCTGGATACGACGGCGGTCTTCACCAGGAGTTCAGGCTCGAGGCGTACGAGGTGATGACCGGAAATCTCCGGGTGAACGCGTCCAGCGTGTCGGCCGATCTGCCGATCTTCCGAATCGCCGTGGCCGATCTTCTGCCGGCCACGCACTTCTATCTGGTGACCTACGCCGTGAACGCGAAGGGTCGCAGCGAGGTGTCTCTTCTGGAGGACATAATGCTGCGGGATTCGGAAAAGCACACGGGTATAAAACTGAAACATTGTTTTCGAAACTGTATTAAATTTTATTTACAGTATTGTACAGTTTTGTTATAGTTTTAGTTTTTAATTTAATTTTTTTTTTTTTTTTTTAATCGAATTTTCAAATTATCGCGAACAAACGAAACAGATTCTCTGCACACATTTGTGTTTATCTCTATTCCTCCCACGTGTTACCACCAATTTTTACGTTTTTTTTTTTTTTTTGACAGAGCGTGAAAGCTATAAAGAACCACATCTGTCGTCGCTCACACATATATTTTAATAGAGTGTGAATAAGTAATTCTCTGATATATTGCGAATTACTAATTTACATGAGTGAAATTTATGTTATTGCATGTTAGTTATTTGAAACTTACGTATGTACGCATGTTCCAATTCACAATAAATTGTTCGAAATAGCGTATCGTGTTTAACGCACACACCGTTTATCAAATTTTAGCCAAATAGTTTACATATAATTTTCAGCTCAAGGTTGTGTGTCGTAAATCTAACGCGTTCGCAATATAACATATCGCGTGTCATATAATCAATATTAATTATAATTTTTTTGTAATTAATTCTATCGTGCACGCACGAACCTATATATATATACACATATATAAATATAAAACATCTCTATATATATATGTGTGTGTATATATTACTTATTGTATTACATCGAAGAAAAAACTGCGCGAGATTAAAAAAGACGCGGTGAATGAGAAAATTTGCCGAAACATTTATCAACGATCTGCAAACGTGGAACGATGCAAATTCGCTTTCAGACACCGGAGTCAGCATGGTGCCGTTAATCCTGTTGCTGACTGGCTGCCTGTTGGCATTCGTCGCGACCGTGATCTCGGTGATGCTGATGATGTATCGACGCCGCGGCACCACGTCTCCCGTGCACATCGAACCGTACATGAAGCAGCCGATAATCACGCCGCCGGATTCGAGAAACAACTCGATGTTGGACGTGACCCACGGTGACCACACGTACTTCGTCGAGTATACGCTGAAGCAGGTCACCGATTACGCGCTCAATAATCAGCCGGATATCATACAGTCGCCACAAGGTAGAATTTGAATCTCATTTTTTATTCAGACGCGCTCTCTCTCTCTGTCTCTCTTTCTGATCCCACGATGTTTCACTAAATTTAAACATTTGTCTCGGACTTTATGCAATGTTGGTCACAAAAAGTAGAACCGTCTAGAAAAATCGTTTCAGAAGCGTTATATAAAATATCCGATATACAAAATATATATCTCGGAAAGCAGAAAATGGACGATTTCTGTCATACGTTTATGCTATACGCACGACTTTTTCAATTTGTCACATCACGAACAATTTAACAAATAAATATCAAGATCGGAGTGAGAACGGAGAGGAAGATAAGAGTGACAACGATTTAATTTGCCAAAAATAAAAGAATTCTAAAATCTGAAAACTCATTTCTTTCTCGCTTTCGCGATTATTGACATTTCGCGTTTGAAAGTTCTGTCGAATCGTCATCTATATATTTTTCGCGTTTCTTTCAGCGTTTTCGTCAAATGTGATATCTCGTTGAAATGACAGCTGTGAACGTTTTCAGATCAGGAAAAGATCAAACGCGAGCCGCAACTTTTCTTGCCAGTAAGACCGGACACGTTATTTGCGCCCTACGATATTCACAAGCAAGGGTTGCAGACGAACAGATGCAGCGTAAGTTATTTATTTTTTTAATAAATAGAAAGTGTTTTTGTTTGGGAGGAGGGGGGGAATTTATTTAAGTTTTAACATTGCGCCCTCTTCGAGAATTAATTTATATTCGCGTATTTTAATCCGCGCGTTATAACAAACTTATCATTTTGATTTCACCGCGCGAACAATTTTAACCATTTTTAAAAGAACTCGACGCGCATTAAATATAGATTCGAGTATCTTTTCTCGATTCTCGAAGTAAGACAGGAAGTTCGATAACGTAAATTGATTCCGAACTCCAATGTGGAAAATTCGACGTTTAATCTGTCGATTGATTTCAATTGATCGCGTGTAAATTAAACCAGATTAAAACCGTCCAACTGATTTCTTTTTAAAACTGCGATATAGCCCATGTCGTATGAACAATATCGATTCGTTTTTTTTTTTTTTACTTTTCAAAAAGAAATGAAAGAGCAAGTCGCTACTAGTTAATACCCTCAAATCCCGTTTTTTTTTTTTCTCGCGTTACGATGTTGACCGTATATATCTTGAAGTTCGATATTTTCTCTTTACTCGGCAGTTGAATCCGTTCTCCGCCAAGTCCTGGGAACCCATCAGCTTCAAGGCCGATCGCAACCTGATGAAGGAGATCATCATCGCCAATTCCATACCAGGTCCGGAGAGCTGCGTGTAAACTTGATCGCGGGAGTGAATCGAGACGCAAACACACACACGCACACGCACACATACATACACGTTCATATCATCGTACACATATACATGTACATGAATACATATCAGAGACGATCGATTTCGAAAGCCTGAAAATTGCATCGCGCGCGCCGGTCGATGCCACCGACAGGCACACGCGGAGCACCCAACGCAAAGTCAACGAATTTCGCTTGTTAACGTGCGCGCCGGTGTGACATATCACGATGACGATATCGTAGCAGACATATCAGCATATCGTAGCATATCGTGGCGCGCCACGGTCTCTCTCCCGTGAAGAAGAAGATCATCAAGAATCTCGGAACCTCATCGCGCGAGAGTGGGGCGCGAGAACGGGACGAAAAAAAAAAAAAAAAAAAAAAACGGTCGCGAGTTCTCTCGCGAGACGATTTAGTCACATAATTTAATAAGCGAACGCTACACGTGATGTGTGTACTATTCCAAGTTTAATATATTTTGTGTCAAATCTTAAACAAAACTCGTCATTTATTCGTACAACACACCTGTACGTTGGACACTACCTCTTCCTTTATTTATTTATTTTTTTTTTTTTTTCTACTTTTTATACCCGATGAATTGAATTTTTATCACGTCGCTTTTACTTACTTTTATTTACGTTTCTTTAATTTACTTTTGATAAGGTTAGCTTTTAAATATAAAACCTCAATTTTGCCGTTGGAGAACTTGCTTCTTTTTTTGTATGTAAATAATTGCGCGTGTTAAATTTGTTTCGCAATTCGACTGCAAATCTGGGTCAGTTCGTTTTAGAAAGACAGAATAAAAAAAAAAGACGTAAAAGAGCACATTTACATATCACATTTTTTTTACACGTCATTTATAATATATATCTTTTTTTAATACGCGCAAAAGCAATAGCTCTCTAAAACAGCGAGCGTCTCGCGTCTTGGAAAGACGACGCGAAACAGGTGCGGCCGCTCCCGCAGGCGGTCGCGCCCAGGAAGACACCGTACACCAAAGCGGTCCAGACTATCACGCCGACCGCAGCAGCCGCCAGTATCAGATGCGCTCGATGACGAACGCGATCCAGGATCCGCAGCATCCACTTGCGGTCCACCGCTCTCTCAGGAGACGCCGTGCCAGGCAAAGATGCGGTTGCTGTACTCTGGAGAACATCCAGTTATAAGCTGACTGTTCGATTATTAAAATGAAGAAATATCCGGTTCCACATCCGGTTGCTGTATTTTCTCTACAGCTCGATCAACTCACAAAGTGCGTTTTAGTCGCTGCGTTATCGTCTTATTATTTTTACTCACCTCCTCTACCGCGTCTTTCACTTCGACCATTCGCTTGACAACCAGCTTCGGCGCTTCCTCGTACGCCATCAATTCACTTTGCCTCTCTTGCGCGACGACCTCGCCTTCAATCTCGCGCACGTCACCGTACGACCCGTCGTGCACTCCGCTACATGGCTCGTGCACATTTCTGTGAGCTTGGTGAACCTCGCTGAAGGGCTCTTCGTATACTTTGGTGGACGTCATGCTCTCCGGCAATTTCTTGGTCGCGTCGATCAGAAAGCGCTCGTACTGGGGTACCAAAAAAAGTTTTCCTTGTAAAATCGCAGCTAATTGAAAATGTTACCTTCATCAGAAGTGGTACACATATAGTTTTTTCTAAGTTGACTCGTTTGAGAGAGCAAAAAACGCGCAAAAGATCAGTCCGACATATTTAACTTCTTCAAACGCGCTTCTGATTAAATGTCGTACGCCTCAATTATCGAGGACAGGTGTGGAGGAGGAGAAGGTAGAAGGAAAATCAACACACCCCACGCGCGCTTATCGCAAACGTTCCTGTGTCGCGTGTACGTACATACACGGGATGTATCTTAAAACACAAACGGGGGGAGAGAGGGAAGGGGGCCAATGTTTCTCGTGGAAACGTGCGGTTCAAAGGACGATTTTCACGCCGTTCCGAGAGCGACGTTCCGAAGGATCGATAGCATCCAATTACGGAAATGCGGGAACTCGTACCTGCATGTTCTGCAGTTTACTTATTTGCTGACGAACCAGACGGACCACCTTGCATTTCGCGTGTTGACAGTTCGCCAGAAACTCCGCGAGAATCGTCGCTCGATCGTCCTCCTGTTCGTAATCTTGCTCCAGATATCGACAGCCGGCGCACGTACGCGCATCGCACATCATCTTCGTACGTGTGCGTGAGAATCTTTCACGTGCGAAGATTGATCCGCGTGATTTAGAAGAATCATCTTTCTTGAGGAAGAATCGCCGCCGATGAGGCTGAAGGCGTGAGCGAGTCGGCTACGTACGTATAAAATTTGAACGGCGCCGATCGATGGCTTTTTCGAAGATCGCTTACATATCTATTATCTTCATATTCTAATTTATCCCGTTTAAGCATGATTTTTTTTTTAACCATTTAAAATGCAACGAACGCGTATTTGCGGAAAACGCATAAAAATGTATGTACATAATTCACCATAATTCAGCCGTGATTCTAAAATGAAATTTAATCTTCATCTGCCCGCGATTGTGATCTAAATTTAAAAATGTGCGCGGCTATTTCTTTCTCAACATTGTCTATTTAATCGAAAGATCGTGTATCCAGCGGCAATCAGGATTCAACGCTTTAATGTTAATGTACTTCGGTAGATTGATTTTTCAAACATGTGTCATCGATTATGTGAGGAAATGTAAATATTAAAAAAATTCAAAGGAGACTTCTTTTCGGAGATATAAGCATGTATATATATATATATATATATAATATTACAAATGTCTCACCCTGAGAAAAACACATAAAAATATAATACAATTTAATAATAGTAGAATTTCATTATAAAACTTAATACTTTTTTCCTCTTAACATAATCTTATAAAGACATGTATTTTTATACACATCTTAAGAAATTTATACAAATATACTTTACAGTCTTTGTTATTTAATTAATCCTAGACTTCTTTTCCGGTGGTGGTTTCATGTCTTTTTTCTCGGTTTTCACTTCCTGTTTAATCTCTATGGCTGAAATCAATTTGTCATTAACATATATTACATGAAATCACACACATATCCGAAATCACACAAAAGTATGTACGTACAAGCTTCCGTTGCCTGATGCACTGGCTTGGGAACTGGTAAAGGGAATTTGCGAGTGAGCTCTCCAAGCAACATATCCACTCTCTGTCGTTGAAACAACGAGCTAGGTTCTTCGCGCACTGGCGCTTCTTTTTTTGCAGCTAAAGCTTTTCCGTTCTTAAAATCCCAGGAATAACCTTTGCTAGAATGATATCGAGAACAACAGCTGGCTTCGTCAAACGCAGATTGCAGGTGATGAACTGCGGACAACTAATATAAAAAGAGAATATATCGGAGTAAAAAAAAAAAACATGTTTTTCATTAATATCAAATAAGATTTAAAAATATATTTTTTATCTCGAAACTTACCAATCTGGAACTCACAACGGAACCTAAGTCTGGAGCCTGATACACAACACCAGCTATGATATAATAATCGGCAACTGGTGTGGCTACAGTCGGTGAATGCCTGTGTTGTTTCCTGATTACGTACAGGATTGGTTCTTGAACGTGTAAAAGAATATATTCCAAGCCAGTCATGTTGCTGAGGAACAGAGCATAATTAACAATTGTGTTCACACAATGTTTTTGTTCTTGATTGAGGGATATTTATATATATATATATATAAAACTTACTTCAGTTGTTCAGGACTCAAACGTTGCATCTTCACTATTTCATTGTTGCAGGTTCTATCATAAAATGGATTACTTCTTTCAGAAAAATAATCCATAATGTTACTGGGATTAAGAACAGGAATCCAGGCACTGTCGTGCCACGACAAACTCAAAGGATTTTCTATAAACAGAAACCACGTGGATATCTCAATTATATAGTTCAAAGTTAATTTTTTAAATTAATAAAATTTCTTACCTTGTACCGGAGTTTTCCCGGGCATCATCATCGCAATTGATGTGATTTATTATAGTAGCAACAATAAATGACAAATATAAGTCGCGCAAATAAATGTTTACTATTTTCACTCGCACGAGAAAAGATTTGTTTCTGTATCAATATTTTCAAAAAATTGTTCAAAAATTGAGAAGCAAAAAATCCAATTTTTTGCTTCTCAATTTTTTTTATGTATCAATTAACATAAGAAGAAAAATGTTCGTAAATATTCTAAATTTTATATGGGATACTGTGCTAATTGAATATTATTCTTCTTTTCGCTTCGTAACACCACTGACGTTCTTCGATCAGCTGATTTCAACTCATTCGATTATGCGACTCTTGCGCCCTTTCTGGCACTTAACGGTAACTTTTTTTATCACCCCGAACAACCATCAGTTGATAAGTGTGTCAACAATAATTTAAATGATCTCAAAAAACGATACATTTTAAAGATTAATTTGATATACGCGTGTTGTCTATTTAAAAATTTTTAACTATACTCAAATAAGATTTTCGCCAATTATTCAAGAAATGTAATTAATTATCAGAAGGAAAGATGTCGCGCAAAACGCAGAATATTATCGACGTTTACGCCATATAAGCCAGTTCTTAATAGCGTGTATTTTTTTTTCAATAAAAGAAAAAAAAACAAACCATTGTCTATCCGCTCGGCGCGTCATTCGTTTAAAGCACTTTTATACTGCGCGATGTTCATTGCCGCAAATGTAACCTTTCTCTGTGCGCGTGCGCACTTTGCACGTACTGTACGCACTTAACGCACAGTAGTGCGTTTTGTTCACTTCCCGGCTTGTGATTCTGATGACTGTCAGTGATAGTGCCGCCGCGCGACCGCGCGCAATGGTTTATTGTTGTTGTTATTCAAGTGTCACTTGCGGCGGCGACATCGATCACTATGTGACTGCGATTACTCGAGGTCCCCGATGACGCGCGCTCGAACACCCACCGCTCCAACCTGATCGACGCGATTTCGTCGTCGACGCTGATTTCCCCGAGTTTGCTGATCCGCGCGTTAAATAAATGGGAAAGGTAATGAGAGCGTTAAAAAACCGTAACAAACCGCAAAGTGAATTACGACGATTCCGGTAATAAAGATCCGTGAAGATTCTTCGAGTGGAAAAAAATTCAGCCTTTAATTAAGTCGCAACGAAAAAACGCGTAATAAATATTTTTTTAATTTTTTCAAAAAGATGACAATGACGCAGTTTTGAGTTTATCTATTTTCAAAAGTGACAATGCGAATGTTCTTTAATAAATGTAATTTAATCTCGAATATAAAAATCTTTTTTGTGAGAAATAACAATCCAGTTTTTTATGACAAGTATTATACTGGATGGAGTGGGTGATTTAAAAATTGTTTGTCGAAAACAGTGAAAACATTCATTCAACATGTAGGATTTCACCATTCGAGGGCATTTAATTGCGCGTGTTCGCGCTTTCATTTTTTTTCCCGTGGCTCACGAACGATTAAACATGGAGGTTAGAAAACACCGATGACAGCTTTCTCACTGAATATGCATATGCATGACAGCGTGTTCACGCGTGCGCGTAAATAATCTCGCGCTAAAAATCTGAAAATCAATTCGAAATTCGTGCGAACTAACGTTTTAAGTAAGTCGAGACGTAAGAAAACAATATTGATATTTTACTAGTTTTTAAGGTTTTTAAAATTTAAATTTAGTTTAAATTTTGTAAATTAAATACTATTTTAAGTTTACAGCAAATTTGTTTTTTTGTTTTTTTTTTTTTTCTAGTTCCTGTTTTTATATTTTAAAAAGTTTGTATTTTATCAATGCACGGTACAACGAGAATGTTGACAATTTACGATAATTCGAACAAAAAAAGCAAATGAGTTTAATTCAAATCTTATTTGAAATTACAGCTGCAATTCTTACGAAGCCTCATCGAGTCGACGTAAATCCAGACTTAAAGCCTCGAAGCGTAACTACTCGATTAGGACGCATTATCTCACCAACATGTTGTATGAAAAGTACGCACAATACTTAAAGAATATTCGTAAATAAATCGACCATTAAATGCATTTGTTCTAATTGCAGAAAGTAGACAATAAACGTAGGAGATACAAACGATATTAAAATCGGCGATCATGTAACAAGATCACAAACAATTTGTAAGTGAAAGTTGTCTTACATGCTGATAATTGTTCCATTTGTACAAATATGACGCGTTTCGCAGTCCTCGCGATGGAGGATTACACGCCGATCGACGAGGACTTCCCGGGCCGGCTGCTGCACCAGGCCGCGCTCTGGGACAACGCCGAGCTGCTCGAGGACCTGCTGCGCGGCGAGCACGCGCAGTATATCAACAGCAAGGATTCGTGGGGCAGGACGCCGATGCACGCGGCCGCGATCACGGAGAACTCCCGCTGTCTGGACGTGCTGTTGACCGCCGGCGCCGATCCGAACGTCACTTGCGGCCCGCGCGGTCATCATCGCACGCCGTTGCACGTGTGCGCGGAGCACGGGCACGCCGGCAACGTGGAGAAGCTGCTGAGCTTCAACGCGGACCTCATGATCCGCGACGACGACGGCCTGCAGCCGCTCGACATCGCCGAGAAGGGCAAGCACGACTCCTGCATTCGTCTGCTGAAAGCGGGAGCGGAGAAATACGAGCTCGCCAAACAGGCGACTCACGCTTCTCTGCGCGCGGCTTGCATTCAGGGCGACACCGTAGCCGCCAGGAACATTATTCAAAGTTTGTCGACCGACTTGGAATGCGTGGTGAACATGGCACCGAACGGCGCCAACACGTTACTCTTCGTCGCCTGTGAGAGCGGACACAAGGACATCGTGCGGCTGCTGCTGGATCACGGCGCCGACTGCAGAATACATCCGGTCACCAAGTACTGTCCGCTCTACATAGCGTGCTACCACGGAAAAGTGGAGATCGTCGATCTGCTGCTTCGTCACTTCCCCAAACAGGTGCAGCAGCTCACGGTGGAACGCTGGCTGCCGATTCACGCGGCGGCGATAAACGGTCATCATCTCGTGATCGATATGCTGCTCAAATTCGAATATCCACAACACATCTTTCAGCGTTATCGCGACTCGTCCGGCGAATTCGAGTACGACCTGCCATTCGATATCAACGCGCAAGACGTCACAGGCCAGCACGCGCTCTACATCGCCAGCATGTTGGGTAACATCAGGTGTGTCGAATTACTGTTGGGTTATCGAGTGAAAGCGAGGACGACCAAGGAGGAGGACGGGGTGAGCGGCGCCCAGCAGCTTCCGGTGTCGAAACGAAAGATCTCGAGCGGCATCCAGAGGTTGATGTCGTCGTTGAATTTTCGCAGCAAAACTTCCACAGACAAGAAAGACGACAAAATGATCTACCCGACGAATCTAGATCTTTATTGTAACAACGGCAGCGAGACCGCGCTGCACGTGGCGGTTCGGGGTAGACACACCGAGGTGGTGAATGCTCTTCTTCAAGCCGGTGCGAATCTAGAGTTACCCGTGAAAATCCCGCACGATCAGAGCGATTCCGAAGGTAATTACTTGAACGTTTTGACGATCGCGTGTCAGAACCGCGACGTGAAGATCGCGGATCTGCTGCTGAAGCACGGTGCTGTCGACAACGAGTGTCGAGCGCTGAAGATCGCCGCGCAGAATCGCGACGAGGCGCTAACGGCGAAACTGCTGTCGATCAAAGCGCATCCGGACTCTGAGTACAAGATTAATAAGAAGGCGATGACCGAGTGCACGCAAAGCTCGCACTTCTCCGCCTTGTCGTCGTTCGGTCACGTCACGTACTCCGCATTATTTCCGAAGACACCGACGATGATCAACTGGCACAACCAGCAGTGTCGCCTGTCGCAAATCCGACTGCAGTGGTTGATCGACGCGGTGTTGCACGTTAATAAGAAACTAAGTCCGAAGAACAACGATCTGGTGCTCTACGCGATCACGCGAATCGATATCTCTCACAACTCCATCACCTCCGTGCCGTCCGCAATATTCTATTTGCAGAGCTTGCGTTATCTCAACATGGCACAGAATAAAATCGACACTCTCATAGCGGAGTCGAAAAATCCGAAGGACAAGCTCTGTCCGGTTTTGGAAGAAATGTATCTGCAGGATAATCGATTAGAACAGCTGCCCGAGTTCATCATGAACTTACCCGCGCTTGAGATCATGGACGTGTCCAACAACAAGCTGCAATGTCTACCCCAGAACTTGTGGCGTGCGCCCAAGTTGAAGGAACTAAACGCGTCGTTCAATCTGCTGCGCGATCTTCCAAGCCAAGCGTCGCAGAATGTCCTGAGAAAGTCTCAACGCAGCGATGAGACGCAGAACAGCACCACTTTCCGCGGACTGAGCGCCATACCGCGAATTGAATCCATGGAGTTCGACTCGTTCACGAAGATTGCGAACGCGCAGGTGATCGAGATGGAACGACCGCACGTATGGACCACTTCGGTGCAGGTGTCGGAGAAGATGAGCGACGACACGGAGAACGGTAACAAGTCGGTATTAGCGTCGTTGAACTTGGCTCACAATCTCTTCAACAGTATTCCCGTAGCTTTGCCGTGTCTGGCGGTGAGTCTCGTGCGATTAAATATGGCGTACAATTCGTTGCGTTCGATGAGTCACATTACTTCGTATCCGGCGAGTCTGAAGCAGTTGGACCTGTCGAACAACCAGATCACGCGATGGCCGAGTCTGCCGCAGATCGACAGCTCCGACAGCATGGAGCAGGCGAACACCGCCTGCTACTGTCCGATTGTAAACGCACAATCACCCGGTATTGTGCCCGGCAATCGACAGACGCCCACATCGATGCGCGACATAGTCTTACAGTCGATCTGCGTGCACAGACGACATTTGCGACTGGAGAACTTGCGTACGTTGATCCTAGCGAACAATCTGCTAAATCGCATTCAGTTGACATCGTGCGACGACGGTGAAATGCCTTACCTAGAAGAGGAAAGGGACTCCGATAGAGATTCGAAGACCGGATACTCTTCTAAACCTTACCTGCTCTTTCCCAATGTTAGTATGCTGGACATCAGTAACAATCAACTGCGCGAAATACCGCACAATATTTATGAGCTGAGCAATTTGTCGGTGCTGAACATCAGCGGCAACCACGAAATTGTCGAATTACCGCCACAGATGGGTTTGCTAGGCCGTTTATGGAATTTAAACACGCAAGGCTGCCGGCTGCAGGAACCGCTCAAATCGATGATCGAATCGAAGAAATACAAGACCATGGACGTGATCGGTTATCTGAAGTCAATTCTGGAGGACGCAAAAGCGTACGCGCGCATGAAGCTAATGATCGTCGGTATTCAGGGAATTGGCAAAACAAGTTTATTGGAACAGCTACGACAAGAAGGTGAGGTGCTAAACAAGAAGAAGGCATCCGAGCACTGGGCTAAGCGCATGGGCAATAAGAACATCAACGCGAAGACCGCCAAAGGTACGACAATCTCGACGGTTGGCGTGGACATCGGCGATTGGATCTACGAAAAAAAAGTGCGTGGACAATCGTCCCATGGACCGGTCTACTTAAGGACATGGGACTTTGGTGGTCAACGAGAATACTACGCGACACATCAGTACTTTTTGTCGAAGCGTAGTCTGTACTTGGTCGTGTGGCGAATCACGGATGGTTTCAAAGGCGTTTCCGAGATTTTCCAGTGGCTGGTAAACATCCAGAGCAGAGCACCGAACTCGCCAGTCATCATCGTTGGTACTCACTATGATGTTTCCTTTGAACATAGTGAAGGTTTGCAACAATACATTCGCGACAAGTTTATCAATGTAGTTGATGCCGAGAAATGTGGCCTGCCAAAGGTTATGGAAACCATCGAAGTGAGTTGTAAGACGCGACATAATATTAAAATGTTATGCAATCTCATCTACGACGTCGTATTTAGCCTAAGATCGCCCGGTAGCAAAGAACTACTATTGGAACAAAAAGTTCCAGCAAGTTATCTAGCTCTGGAAGACGTGGTAATTCAGCTGGCGCACGATAGAAAATTGTCCGGTTTGGATCCGGTGCTGAAGGCCGATCAATATTATGCCGCGGTCAACAACGAGCTTCAGAAGTTGCACAGATCTTTCAGAGACCCCGCCGAACTACACCAGGCGACGCTGTTTCTTCATGAGAACGGTATAATACTGCATTACGACGATGCTACGTTGAAAGATCTTTATTTCTTGGATCCGCAATGGTTGTGCGACATGCTGGCCCACGTAGTCACTATACGAGAGATCAATCCGTTCGCCAGATCTGGCATAATGAAGCTGGACGACATCCAGCACGTCTTCAAATCCTCCACGATATCATCGATCGATACTCAAGGTTACATCGTCAGTCTGCTCAATAAATTCGAAGTCGCTCTGACGTGGGACTGTCGCACGTTGCTGATACCGTCTCTCTTGCCAACTGAGGAGGACATTCTGCGTAATAATCAAATCATCAAAGTGCCTGTGAAGACACGCGGTTGGCACGTACGCGCAAAAAAGATCACGTCTCCTATGTTCACATGCTTGGGTGCGACACCCGGTGACAATAAGAGCAATGCTGAATGCGTGCTCACGTCGAGAGGGCAGCCCGACTGTTCCGTTACCAGATTATTGCTCATGTCATATTTCCCCAGCGGTTTCTGGTCTCGTTTGATAACTCGCATTCTCGCCGATGACGCTATCGTTGAGATTGTTATGTCCTTTCTGGCGCCGTTCAAGGATTTTGTTGACGACAATATCTTTGCCAGTTTGTTGGATTTGCAAGCGGAGTGGGTGCTTTGGCAGACGGGACTCGAGCTGCGATACTCGGGAATTATCTTGCTGCGTCTGAAGGAAGTCAATTACAACATGAAGAATTCTCCGTACGATTACAGACAATTCAAATTCAAACTCAAACAAGATGGTATTTGGTGCACGGTAGACCTGAAGAATTCCGCTATTCTTGAAATTTGGTTTCCGGTGGACACATTGGTAATTAAGCAGCCTATCATGTCCGATTCCGTGGATGAGGAGCCGATGGGTTACCAGGCAATTGTAGTCGAGCCGCGACCCGAAAGTATGCCGCAACTGATGGCGCTGATTGTCGATCACATTGATATTCTACTCGAGGACTGGTATCCCACGTTAGGCACACGCTTTGTTCACACGTCGGAGGGCAAGTTGCTGGTCACGAGGCTAATACCGTGTCCGCGCTGTTTACTTGGCAACACCGAGAACGGAGACGGCGAGTCGAGTGACAGCGACGGTCGTCTGATCGAGGATATACAGAAATATTGCGCAGTAAATCGCGCCGAGCGACAAAGCCAGGATAGCTACAAATCTGACGGTGATAGCGGCGTTGGTTATGACAGTCTAACGTCTAGCAGAATGCCATCGCTCGAAGGACATCCGGACATGTCGCGGCAGCAAAGCACCTCGCATTTCGAGAGCACTCTTGCTTACTCTTGGATGGTAGAAGAATGCATACTGGCGGCGTACAGCAACAAGCCCATCAGCTGTCCGCGACATTCGGAAATTCCGTTGTCGCATGTCGCGCCTGATATTATCTTCATGGATTTGGGGGTCAAACATCTGATCAAGTCGGAGGATCTAAAACGTGGCAAATTGCTAGGTCGTGGCGCCTTCGGTTTCGTCTTCCGCGGCAGTTGTCGACTGCCGGGTACGCATGTACGCGCTGACGTAGCCATCAAGATGCTGCAGCCAGTTTCACCAGGCCCGAACTCCACGCAGTCGGCAATTCTCGCGTACAAGGCGTCGCAGAGCAAGTGGGATCGCGATCCATTACAGTATGCCTGCAAAGCCTATTGCATGGCACGTCAGGAACTCAACATACTGCTAACACTCAGGCACGCTAATATCGTTCCGTTGATCGGCATAGTTGTTAGTCCATTGGCTCTTGTATTGGATCTCGCTCCTCAGGGAGCATTGGACGGCGTCTTGAAGAATTATCGTCGCTCCGGTGCCAAACTGGATCCCTACACGTTACAAGCGATAATTCTGCAAGTCGCTAAGGCGATAGAATACCTGCACCAACAGCACGTTATCTATCGCGATCTCAAATCGGAGAACGTGTTGGTGTGGCAGATGCCGTTGCCGTTTCAAGAGAGTCCGGAACTGGTGCACGTCAAGGTTGCCGATTACGGTATCTCGCGACTGACACTACCTACGGGAGCGAAAGGATTCGGTGGCACGGAAGGCTTTATGGCGCCTGAGATAATCAAGTACAACGGCGAGGAAGAATATACGGAGAAAGTTGACTCGTTTTCGTTCGGCATGTTTATTTACGAGCTGATCACGCTGCGCCAGCCGTTCGAGGGTCACGAAGCAGTGAAGGAGTGCATTCTGGAAGGTGGCCGACCGCCACTCATGTATCGCGAAACCTTTCATCCGTGCTACGCACTCGATCTGATGGTTATATGTTGGGCGCAGAACCCAAAGGATCGACCGACAGCCAGTCAGATAGTTTCGATCGCTTCCGCGCCCGAGTTCACGCACCTGATAGACGTTACCTTGCTGACGGAACGCACGCAGGTGACAGCAGTCACCATGACGAACTGCAGTGGCAACAACAGTCAGAGCGATGCAGTGGACAGTCTGAACGGGGACGAGATCTGGTTCGGTCACAACAACGGTGAGGTGGATATGCTACTAGGAACCCAGAAGGGCTGGCTTCGTCACATACGCATCGAGACACCGGTAATTCCGTACGCTATGTGCGGCGTAGATGGCTACATCTGGATTGGCGATAATGTCGGCCAAGTACATGTCTATCTGTGTGGCAACTTTGGCTGCGTAGCCAGCCACAGTTTGGAAGCAGATCACAGCAAGGAATCCAAGGTAATCGGATTGATCCATCTGGAACAGCTGAAACAGTTCGCTGTGGCGTTGCACAGCGGTCGGATCTTCTTACTATCCAACTCGTTTACGCAAATCAAGAAGACAGAAATCACCGGCGGTGCGGAAACGACGCGCCAAGGCGCTGATATCAAGACCTACTCGCTAGCGGCGGTCTGTCGAAAAAGACGTGTGTTAGAACTCTGGGTTGGCCAGAGTTTCGGACGAATATCCGTTTACACGTTGAAAGACGGCAATCTGGTCGACACGGTGCAGCTGTCTCATTGCACCGGCACGGTCGGCGACGCCGCCATGCGAAATCTCTTCGCCACGTATCTGACTAGCGCGATGGTTGAGAACTTTGTCTTCTCGTACACGTATCCAGGCTGCGTGGTATATCAATGGGACGTGGAAAGTCGACAGATTGTCAACAAACTCGATATGTCCAAACTAGTACCGTGCTCCGAGAGTCTCAAATCTATCTCGATCGAAGAGAATCTATCAACGGAGAAGTGCCAGGTGACCGCGCTCGAAGCTAGCGCCGGTCAGCTGTACATCGGCACTACCTGGGGCTGCATCGTCGTCGCCGAGTGCGGTACTTTACGGCCCGTCACTGTGTTTCGTCCATTCGAGGGCAAGGTCTGTCAGATCGTGTCCTTCAAATCTGTCGACAAGAAGAAGGCGGTGCTGGCTACCGTCGGCCAAGGTTACCGCAGCCTTATCGCACGATACGCCGATTTTCCTCTGAAGAATTTGGAAAACGAAGAACTCAGACACAGCATGTACACCTTACTGTGGCGATCAGAGAACTGGTCGGCTGCTTGATTCCCACGGAGATCTTAAGATCCGCAGCTTTCTTCCGACGAATAATTTCCGTCGCAATGAGATTCTCAGTTAGTGCCAATGTAGAAGATATTACAAATCACGTACTGAACCGGTCTGAAGAAAGGTGGAATCGTCGTGCTAAACCAAAAAAAAAACTTTACCGGAAGTGCTTAAGTGGGGAGTGCGTAACGACACTGCTCGGCGAATCTTATACGTCCACTATATTATTATAGTACAGTACAATGGATATTCCGTGCGAAACGGTGCTCGAGGATGAAAATCATATTCCCGTGAAATTATGATGAAATAAAGAAACGCATTTTTTTCTTTGTTTCGAGAAATATGTCGAGGGAGTGATAAAGGAATATCCCGTATATCACGTTACGAGCTGATTCTTTAGTTCGTCCAGCTTGCAGGAATTATCAGTCAGATGTAAGAGAAATATAATACACATACACACACACACACACACTTTTATTTTGTATAAAACTAAATGCTCTAAGTACTCTAGAATAAGTTTCTGCTCGGTGATTTGTGATAGAACACCGCGCGATATATACTCGCGCGTTATTTAAATGATTAAGTAAACGCTTTAAACTCTGAAATATAGAACAAAGGAGATGATCTGGGATTTGAATACAGTTTGTTTCATCATTGTGGGACAAGAATAAACAATAAAATAAAAGGTAACTTGGGCATCTCTTCAATTGATATTAATCATATTAGCCGTTAGATATTAAAGAGCTATTTTTAGCACCATTACAAATTTTTTGATAACATTGTTTAATACATCAATTAAAGCATCGATGAAAGTCTGTCGTCGCTGATGGCTAAACTTTCATCGTCTTCAATTGATACAAATTTCTGTAGAATCATGGTCGTATATCTTTCCGTGAGACTCAGATGCATCACGTCCAAAGTAATAATCTTTCGAATATAGTATATATCAAGAAATATGTAAAACTTAATTTAAGATTCAAAGAGGTTGTGGGACATGCTTAATACGTTGCATGTTATTACACGTAACAATATGAAGATACACACGTAACACTACAAGATAAACACGTTGAACACATTTTGATCCATTTTGCTCAATTAAAAAACTTTTCTTTCTCTCGCGATTTAATCACACAAAAATAAATTAATTGTATTTCAAAATAATATATGTGTGATATACGTACATATGAAATTATTTTCAATTATGTGACGCTCTCTAATTGTCAAGAATTGTCTTTGTCAATAAGATGAGATTTTTTTTTTATGGGAAATCTCTTATTTAGTCGATATTCGTCCCTTCTCGATACGTAAACACTCTTTAAAATAGTTCTTTTATTTTTTTTGTTTTTTTTTTTAGATCGTAACATAATAAAGCGAGCAATATACAATATTTATACACGTATTGTAATGCATTTCAACAAAAACCGGTATTTATAGAAACCGAGTGAAAAATCAGTTCCAGAGAAAATGTAAGAGCGACCGTAAATCCTTTCCGATAACGTATGATGCGTTGTTATTTATTCTCGAATCAGCACGTTTAGCGTATTATCGCGGTAGCTTTGACTCATATATAATTGTGTTTTATACTTAGCTTTAATTAATACTCGTACCTGTGCAGCGCGTCAAGCGACCAAGTGATATACAATGCAGCTTGCATCCCCCCTTTTTCTACTACGATGACGTTTATTACGACAAAAGTGGAAATTGTATATCATCCGCTACATATACAATAATCTCAAAATTAATATGCCTTGAAATACGGCAAGTCATTACTGTTGTAAAAATATTCCTCTATATCTTATATTAGGATTTTAAATTTTAAATGAGTGATCTCCGATATATAAGTTAGGATTACATCAATGTAAAATTCATGTTTAACTACTCATTGTGAAGATTATATTGCATTAGGTTGTGTCATCTTATTTACTCATTCATTATTTACTCATCGTCAACTCAAATTATTAACTTTGTCCGAACTCAACATTGTTATTTAATGTATTGATTGTCACAAAATATAAACTGTTGTTGAAAAAAATTCGTTGTTATTTACTTTTATATTACTACCGCATGTTGGCGATTAATGCAAATTATTTTTATGTAACTGTAATCAAAAAGACATTCTAACTATTATTTAACAATAAAATTTTTATTTACAATAACATATTTTGTTATATCAGTTAGAACTACTCGACGATTCACTTTCTATTTTCTTTAAATTCAGTTTTGCTTCTACCTGTGAACTATAATGTTGTATTGCTTGTGTATAAGCATCATTTTCCGATAATCCTTCTTCCTATAAATTACATACAATTTTAAAAGAGTTTCTGTTAACTTTTTGATCAAGTTGTTTAAAATATACTTACCTCTTTGATAGTTCTGTACATAGACAGAAAATTTTGTGTTGCAGACTTTGTATTTTTATCTGTCAAATTAGTAGATGGTATATAACTTTGATCTTTGTGAAACCTTCTGCAAAAGCAAATATTGTGCTCACAAATATAAGAAAGCTTTACACTTAATGTTTATTACAATGAATACGGAATAAAATCTTACGCTCGAATAATATCCTCTTCATAAAAGATAGGCTGGATAGGTTTCTTTGGCAGTTTTCTGTCATATCTAGGCTCATATTTTGGAGGAAAAGCCTCGTATATTGCTAGCCATATAGGTCTGTCTTCTTCTTTGATGGCTTTGCCCTTTAATAACGACGTAACTCTGAAATCCATTAAGAAATAAATAACGGAGGAACTTGTAAATGTCTTTCAATCTTTATTCGCGAAACTTGATTGACTGATCAAACTTGTAAAACCATTTTATAAATCATGAAGACATACCTGCTATATATTGTGCCAATTTTCTCCAATCTACTTTGTGCCATATCGTGTTTCTTTTGTAATGTAACACTTGTGAAAAAGATGAAAATTTGAATTGTGTAAAAACGTAAACTAACGTAAACTTCTCCTCTTGTATACTTTCCAACAGAGAGAAGCCTGAGAGCGGCCACGGCCAGAGTTTCTGCGATAGCTTTTCATGGACATGGTTCTATTCCGTGCTATGAGAACACGTGGTGGGAATACGCACACAAGCGAGACCGTTGTCCGTGTGCGCTCGTGGAAGAGTGCAACATATTATGTCGATGAATGACGGTTCTCGCTTGTGTGCGTATCCCCACCACGTCGGTGTTCTCATAGCACGGAATAGAACCATGTCCACGTTTGACATGGCTACGTAGTTGCTAATGTGCACCACCCATGGACATTGCGCTGGCTTACAGAGCGGAAAAGCGATTACTTATTCTCTTATAGGCTTGGCCGCTCTCAGTCTTTTCTCTGATTCTACTTTTTGAAGTGATACCTCAATTATCAACTAAAGTGCTAGTGTCTTTTTCTATGTAACTGTTGGTCATATGATTTCTTTCCCGCTCAAATGACAGAATTTGTTCGGTTTGTATGTGTCGTTTAAAGCTTTGTTGAGTACTTGTATATGATCGTGTGGCATACAGCAAATAATTTTACAACATAAAAATGGATACGGAGATTGATCAGCATTTACAACTAATAACACGCGAATACATCGATTTCTTGGATGATGCGGTAGGTAATTTAGTGATCCATCTTTAGTGTTAAGAACGGTTAAATTGTTGTGTTTACAATATATTTATTTGTCTTTATAACTGTGTATTGTAATATTGTGGTTTAATGATTTAATTACGCAGGAGGATCAGGGCATATATGCCACAGCTGTTAAAAACATGATTCAGGAAAATAAATATAGATTGGTTGTTAATGTCAATGACTTGAGAAGGAAAAATCCCAATCGTACCGCAAGGTAACAATTATATCTTTTTACTGCTTAACAGGTATAACACAAATTTTGTGCATAAAAGTTTGAAGATACATATAACAATTATATTACAATTATGTTACAGTTTGCTTAATAATTCCTTTGTGGAACAACTGGCGTTTCAAAATGCTTTGTATCAATATGTCTCAAATGTAGATATCGATTTTGCAAAACAACAAAAAGAGTTCTTTGTTGCTTTTGAAGGAAGCTTTGGAAATAAGCATGTTACATCAAGAACACTCACCTCTCGTTATTTGGGTAACTTGGTGTGTATGGAAGGAATTGTTACAAAATGCAAGTATTTAAAGAAAAATATCAAATTGTTTTAATTTGGAATTTTTAAGAATTACTTTTTATATGCGTCTAATTATGTTTAATAGCTTTATTTAAATCATTTGTCGAGAATATATATATATATTTTTTTTTAAATTTTTATAGATCAATAAAAATAAATAATATCTATTGCAGGTTCACACGTACGACCAAAAGTTGTGAGAAGTGTCCATTATTGCGATGTAACTAAAACAGTCTTGGAGAGAGCGTATTCAGATTTAACTTCCTTGGAAGCTTTTCCTCATTCTGCTATTTATCCAACTACTGTAATTATAATATATATATATATATATAATTTTTACATTTTTTAACTATATATATATGAAGATTTTTGAAAAATTTACTCTTATATTACAGGATGAACAAGGTAACGCTTTAGAAACGGAATTTGGTTTGTCGACTTACAAAGACCATCAGACACTTACTATACAGGAGATGCCAGAGAAAGCTCCGGCCGGTCAGTTGCCACGAAGCGTGGATGTAATCTGCGACAATGATTTGGTAGATATGTGCAAGCCTGGGGATCGAGTGCAGATTGTCGGAAATTATCGATGTCTTCCAGGAAAACACGGTGGATATACAACTGGAACTTTTAGGTATTAGCAATTTAGAATTGTTCTCCAATTTAATTGTTTGTTTTCTTTTAAAAATTTGCTATAAAAATTCTTACAAAGGACTGTCCTCATCGCCAACAATATAATGGAGCTGGACCAGGACAAAAATCTTATGATCTCTCACGAGGACGTAGCGATGTGCAAGAAATTGGCAAAACACAATCCTTGTAAAAATATTTTTGAACTCCTCGCTAAGTCTCTCGCTCCGTCTATACACGGTCATGAGTACATAAAGAAGGCGATTCTGTGTCTGCTCTTGGGTGGAGTGGAGAAGGTCTTGCCAAATGGTACGAGATTGCGAGGGTAAGATTTTACCGAATCTCTCACGAACTATTTATTAACGATTGTCCCCTGGCGCGTACTAACGAGAACATTTCTCTCTTTACGTTGTAGAGATATAAATATGTTGCTTATTGGCGATCCGTCGGTTGCAAAATCGCAGTTATTGCGTTACGTGTTGTGTACTGCTCCACGTGCAATTTCAACCACCGGAAGAGGATCTTCCGGTGTCGGTCTGACGGCGGCAGTTACGGTCGATCAGGAAACCGGTGAACGCAGATTAGAAGCAGGCGCGATGGTCTTGGCAGATCGCGGCGTTATCTGCATAGACGAATTCGACAAGATGTCGGATATTGATAGAACGGCGATACACGAGGTGATGGAACAAGGTAGAATCACAATCGCCAAAGCGGGTATTCACGCCAGCCTGAACGCGCGTTGCTCGGTATTAGCAGCTGCGAATCCCGTATATGGAAGAGTAAGTTTCCGATCTTCCCGAAGCTATAGTTGGAATTATTTTTGATGTTTTGCAATGAGAAATCGAAAAAGTTAAATGTTTTTCCGACAAGCTAGGTTTACTTATATATATATATATATATATATTTTTTTTTTTTTTTTTAGTATGATCAATACAAAACGCCTATGGAAAATATTGGCCTGCAAGATTCTCTACTATCGCGTTTCGATCTGCTCTTCGTTATGCTGGACGTACAAGATTCGGATCAGGATCACGTAATCAGCGATCACGTCGTGAGAATGCATCGGTACAGAAATCCTTCGGAACAGGACGGCGAGGCTTTGAGCTTGGGTTCGAAGTTGGACATGTTAACGACGAAGAATACGGATGACGCGGCCAATGAAGAGGCGCAGAATCAAATTTATCAGAAATATGATCCGCTTCTGCACGGACAAACGCGTTCCAAAAAGTATGTTAAATTTAATTCTTATACGCATTACGTGCTTTTTTAACTTAACTTCGCTGCGAACTTTGACTTCATAGTTTAAACAACATTAAACGTATATGATTTTTATATTAAATGTGATTTTTCGAATTCTTCTCTCAGCGATCAGATTTTGACCGTACAGTTTATGAGAAAGTACATTCACATCGCTCGATGCATGAAGCCAAGACTCACGGAAGAGGCCAGCTCCGTTATCGCGGAAGAATACTCGAAACTTCGCTCGGAAGACATAGTAGAGTCCGACGTTGCGAGAGTAAGTGGTATTGTGTTTTTTACGATTACGCGAAAACAAAGCCCATGCGTGATCGCAAGTGTTTCCGTACAATTCACAGACTCAACCGGTGACCGCGAGAACTTTGGAGACGCTGATTCGATTGGCGACAGCGCATGCGAAGGCACGACTTTCAAAGTACGTGGAAAGTGAGGACGCACATGCCGCGATAGAGCTGGTGCAGTACGCCTATTTCAAACGTGTGCTCGAAAAGGACAAGAGGAAACGACGACGTCACGATAGCAACGTATCTGAGGATGAGGTCGAAGAGAGCAGACAAACGAAACGCAAGAAGACTACGAGAAATACTGATGATCCGTACGAGTACGACAGCGATGACGACCACATCGAAGTGGCGACGCGGATAACTAGGGCGCGTTCACAAAAATCTACCACCACACAGAAATCTACGTCGCCGAGCCCCATGGAGACCGAGAGTGCGCAAACGTCTGTTCCGGAAAAACCCACTATCACAGAGGACAGGTAAAAACAATTCCAAAAAAAAAAAAAAAAAAAGAGACAATCTTAAAAACTAACTCTTTGTCACAAATAAAAGCGGCACGTGTAACTCTTTGCGTCTTAAATACTTGAAATATGTCTTTCATATTATCTAATAATTTAAAAAAAAAAAAAAAAAAAAAAAAAAAAAAAAAAAAAAAAAAAAAAAAACTCATCCCTTATTTTAATTCTGATTACAGACTTGCAATTTTCAAATCATCGTTAAATAAGTTGTTCCAAGACAGACGAATTCAAATGATTCCGTTGAGAGAAGTTACCGATTATTTGAACACAGAGCGCGCTCTGAATTTCACGTCGAACGAGATTGACGCCGCTATCAACGCTATGACGGACGCAAACCAAATCATGGCCGCGGACGATAATATTTTTCTGATATAAAATATTTCTCCATACGCAGTACGTTATAATTTTATACAATTAAAGATGATTACCATTTTTTTTTTTTTTTTTTAATATTAACTTATTGGTTGGATCGCGAAGATGAGACTTCCGAGATCGCTCCTCATATTTTTTAACACCAACGAACGATTCACGATTTTATATGTAGCTGCAACAAATGATCTTCAGGTGTAATTCAGTACGATAATATCTGATTTGTACATGCACGCAGTTGCATGCAACACTTAAAAAAAAATATATACATATTTTTCTATGCGCAAATCGTGTTTGCATTTAAGGTTCCTCGCGATATCTCGCGGCTATCTTCGATTTTGTGACGTCAGAATGAGACCCCAACATCGCCAAAGTTTCGCGCACTTTATTTAAAAAGTACACATTTCTGTAAAATACAAACGTATTAGACTATTAGAGTGCATTTGTATAAAAATATACACCGTAGGGTTTTCTTTTGATTTAACACAAAAAACCAGATCGGTAAAATCGAATCGAAAAATATGAAGCTTTTGCAGCGTGTCACACGCGGTTTCGTGTTAAAAGAAAAGCGTGTGTGGTATAATTTTACGAGCTCTGTCGATTCCACGTGTGTTTATAAAAAAAAAAGTGCTTTTTTATTTTCAGAAAAAGTGCGCAAAACTTTGATTCTTCGTCGCTTCTGAAACGTCATAAAATCGAAGACGGTCGCGATACATCAACCTTAACTAAATCAGTTCAGTTAGTAAATAAACTACGTGATTTTTTTACGAATAATGATATCTAACAGCATTTATTTGCCCTATACTCCATAAGACAACACATTGGCACATAAACTAGCAACAATCATCACCATTCATTACAGTGATGTAAACGTAATACAGCTCACAACACTAAATCCGCTTTCCGCATCTGTGTAAATATATGTACATGTTTTAACATATCCGATCCATTGTGCGTGTGCGTTATGCGTTACTATTGCGCTAACATCAATCACGTTGTTTTTTTTTTTTTTTTTTTCCGCTAAAGGCTTGTTTTAAGAATTTATTCAACGTACTCGCACACGTCGCCTTATTACAAAAATTTACGGCAGTCATATAAATGTTTCTTTTGTCTTTTGTATGTTCAACATACACAATAGTTGACACAATCTCATTTTAAAATAAGTTTACAATCTTGTCTAACTAACTTTCTCGACTGTACAACCGTCTCTGTTTCTCTCTCTCTCTCTCTCTTTCTCTCTCTCTCTCTTTCTCTCTCTCTCTCTCTCTCTCTCTCTCTCTCTCTCTCTCTTTCTCTCTNTCTCTCTCTCTCTCTCTCTCTCTCTCTCTCTCTCTCTCTCTTTCTCTCTTTCTTTCTCTCTCTAAAGTGACACTCGTTACAGCGTCACTGCTAGTTATAACAGAGGTAATGTAACATCATCGCGCGTTTTAAAATTTTACAACTGTCAGTATATCAAATCAATTTACGTAGATCTACACAATACGGGCCCGTAGGACGTATTCTTGTTGTAAGAAGAAAAGAATCGACGATCTGCGCGACCTAATATATATATCTCTCTCTTTTTTATTTTTTTTTTGTTTATTTTTTTTGGTTTTTTTTTTTGTTTGTTTGTTTTACACACACAGAATCAGGCCCTCCTCGAAAAATCTACGACGAATCGCGTCCTGCGCTAATTGTACTCAGTTTCTCTTAACAACACCACTGATTAACCTATCACTCGCGCGATGATTTAGATTTGTTATAATTTCGTATTGTACAAAATTCACTACAATTACAGCTACACTCGAAGTATTGCTTTAACAAATGGTCGTTTTCAAACCATTCCAAAGCTTCGAATCACGACGATGAATGAGTATGACAATACACGCCATTGCGATGCACAGAAAATTCTCTACCAATAACACATCGAAATTCCTGAACAAATTTGATGTCTGAATTTGAAGCGGTTTTTTTTCTTTTTTTTCTTTTTTTTTTTTTTTTTTTTGTTCGTACGGGCGAGTTTTTCTAATGACTAGTCGACGGCAGTGACGTTCCGATATGATATATACGAAATGTCGTGAGTGTTTTTTGTGTTTTGTTTCGATGATTTCGATGATTTTATAATTCTTTCTTTTTCGATAGAAAATCGATTCTTCAAACGCGATGAGCTTCGCGAATAACGTGTGTGTGTGTGTTGGGTTTTTTTTTTGTTTTTTTTTTGTTTCTAAACGAAAAAAAAATTGAAACGTTGGTGTGTTCAGCTCGCGTTCTGCGCACACTGTGCGCGGATGCGCACAAGTGCGTGTATCACGCATTCTCAATCAATTTCGGCGTAGCAAAATATCAACGTAGCTCTCGGCGAGATAAAAATGACGAATTATATAATATATGGCGGCGAAGCTCAACACGTTGAAGTTTCACGAGCTCAGGCGAGCAATTAAAATTATGAGGCACATACCACTCTCTCTCTTCTTCGAAAACTCTCTCCCTACTATAGGGGGCGCAAAGTTCCTTAGGCTAAGAAAATTCGTTTCTTACTCTGATGCTAAAAAGTAGGAATCCTCACTTCACAATCCCGCTGCGATTATTAAGAATCGTTTAGCTCTCCGTATAATTTCGTTTCACACGGGATTTTTTTCTTTTTTCTCACAACAAAGTTCATACTTCGTCCTCGCTGGATTCGCTGCTGTAAGCTAACTGTTCCTTCCACCATTCACGTACCTCCAGCATAACGCTGGAAACTTTAGGCGCGGTCGTTTTATTGTTTATCACCTCCCTCTGCTGTTTAATTTGTTCGATATTTTCCGTCAGATGGGACAAATTATTTTTCACCATCGCTGAAAAGAAAATTAAGAGAGCAATGAGAGAAACATGTATAATTTATATATACCGCAAAGTGTACATCGATACAGCAATGTATGTCGATCGCGTTTGATCCCTTACTTGGCGGTCTGTTGTTTCTCTTCTTCGCCACCGCGATCTTGTCCTTCTCGGATCGAACAGATGCGGGATCGGACAACGTCGGGGCCAGATACTTTCTTCCCGAAGCACTTCCTATACTGTCCGATCTAGGAAGCACTACCGGCTTCTTGGCTCTATGTTTTATGACTTCAACATCCTGATAATTGTCAAAAGACAAATTATCATATATATAAAAACTGCTACCTTTAAATTGCAGAAAAGCAAATAAGATGCAAGGATAAAAAAAAAAAAAACGTACTTTCGTCTCGATCTCTTCTTCACGGTCAACGCTGACTTCTTTGCTTTTCTCCTCCTTGCTCTTCTCCTGATCCTGAGGCGCCGCGGATGCGTTGTTCGTAGCGCGAAGCCCGGCTATAAGACTGTTTTGCTGCTTCTGCAGAAGAAAAGAAAAAGAAATAAGAATTACATGTTGTTTGTAACACAACAACGATTAAAATGTGCACAATGTCAAATTTGTGCTTACCGCTCGTATCTTTTTTAAACAGCCTTGCAACCAAGTTCTGATAGTTTGTTTTGCCACTTCCTCTTCGATTATGTACTCGAACTCCTGCCGCGCAAGCAGTTCCTCAAGTTGTAGCGCTTTTCTTATTTCCACCGAACGGTACGATAGCATACTAAGAAATTCTTTAATTTAGAAAAGTTTTGATAATTCGCAATAACGTTTATGTTTATTACCGATCTATTTCACGAAACTTACTTGATAACATCGTGAAAAGTGACGTCTTCGCCATTGTGCAGTCGTTCCAGCTCGTAACACATGTACTTGAAGAGCAGGCGATCCTTTTGCAGATCGATCGCTAATCTGCCTTTCAACAACCGCAATATAAACTTTACCTGAAAACGCGCCAATGTTATTATTCGTGTTTCTCGCGGATTATTACATCATTTCTGCGAGAATGTTGGTTTTTATTTCGAAGTAAAACTATATATGTACGTATATATATACATATATATATATATACCCGTTTCACTGGTATGACACCTTTCTGATGGTTATCAACGACGTTCCACGTGTTCTGAAAATTCCTTATGTCAGCGTACGATAATAACGCGTCCTCTTCATTTGAATAAAATAAGGAGAAGTTCTCCATGATAATAGCTGTGAAAAAGTTATCATTTTATCATTGACATCAAATTTGAGACAAGAAGACAAGAAAAGGTAAAAAGAAAACAAAGAAACAAAGTATCGTACCGACTAAAAGATTTAAGACGATATACGTGATGATGACGTAGAAGGTACAAAAATAAATTAGAGCGGCGTGAAAATTGCCGCAGTCCGTTTCCCAGTAATTGTTCGCCGGTGTGCAATACGGTGGTTGTACCATGCAATCGTGCATTATTTTGTTCCAATCCTCTCCCGTTACTATGCGAAAAAGCATCGCTATGCCGGTAACTGGCGACTCGAAGTTCGCACGCCTAATGATGTATTGCAAGAAGAGAGATAGTGTTTTATATACATATTAATGTTACACACATTAAAGTCAGTTATTTCTATAGATATGCGTATAATTTTGCTAAAAGTGTATTAAAAATTTCAAATTTGCAAATATATCAAAAATATCGCACTTTCCCTCACCTTCCTATGCCTTCTCCATACTTGACAGTGCCGAAGATTATGGTGCCGGCTAACGCGTAAAAGAAGACAAGGAGAAACATGCCGAATATGATGAAGAAGCTTTTGCAGACGGACACACCGACCGTCAACATTAGCATCTTGAGGGTGGTGTGTTTGCCAGTGATGGTGAAGAACCTGAGGATCACAACCATAAATCCGATCACGTAGGACAGATCGTTCTGAAAGCAACACGGTGAATAATGACACCATGGGGCAAACAACGTGGCGGAACGGACGGAGGGAAAGTGCAATCGATCAGAGGGGGCTTCGACGTATGTACCTTCATCGTGCAGTATATGAAGATCCAGATAACGCCCACGACTGTTACGAGCAAGTCGTATCTGTTTCTTCTGGACTGCCAATAGCCGCGTGGTGTAAAAGCGATGTTTTTCATGATTACTTCCACAAGGAAGACCAATGTCAAAACTATGGAAATTGTGGCCAGTGTTGTCGTATGTTTCTCCTCGATTCTCCACTTGAGACGAGCAAGGGAAACAGAAGGGAGGAGAAAATCGTAGGTTAAACATGAGCAAATACACTTGTGTCTGTTGCAATCTAATGATAGGGGGCAGCAAGGAAGAAAAACAACTTGTTCAAGATAACAGTCTCCAAATGCAATACGGGAGTAACATTACATACGGGATGTTTTTTTTTTTCTCGTTCAACTTACAGAGACGCACAGCAGAGAACTGTCTGTAAGCACCATTAAGGCAATGAATCGTTTGAAATAAATATTTTGCGTGATGTCGTAAGTGAAAGCCCGGAACTTCTTGCCGTCCGGTCTGGGTGGTAAATGCAACGGCTGGGCGATCTTCAGACGTTTTTTCAAGTCACACCTGCATCTCAAACAAGATTGATGATTTTAACGGCGATTGAATAGAGCGTTTTCTATAATTCAACGAAATGCAAAATCTCACCATCGTCTTTGATCGACCGTGAGCAGAGCGGTGCCTTTGTTCTCAGAATAATTCGCAATCACGACACCCACGAACAATGTTAAGCCGATCATGCAACCGAGGAAAATATAAATATGTATGTAAATTGCGTGAAGCTGAAAAAGATATGATGAGAGACATAAGGTACAAATGTGTAAATAGAATTTTTATGATCATATATTTTTATAATATTTAAATATTTCATGAAGAAACAAAAACTCACAGGACCAAGAGCTTTAATAAGAACGTCCCGTATATCAAGCCAGCCCTTAAAAGAAAGCACTTCAAAAAGAGCCATCATCGCGTCGCCAATATTATCGAAGTTAAACCTTTTGGGATTAGCCCTGAAAACATATTCGCAATAAAAATTAACCGATCGAGTCGGAAAGAAATTCAGATCAATGAAAATTTACGCTCACCAAACACGCGGTACCAATATGGACGGATAACTCTCGTTTGTTCCCGGACGCAGCTTCATTTTCGTCACGAACACTCTTCTCATGAACACACCGACGCAGTATTCGCGCTTTGTAATCGTGGGGTCGTTGCACCTTGCTAACCGACCACCGTACAATTGCATACCGTAATTCGCAAACACAAACATCAACAATATCAGCAATATTGATACCTAAAAATTTAAACATTTCTCGTCTATGTTATTTGTATCAGCGATTATTGAATCGCTTCCGAAATCCGAAAATCGTAACTTACCAACAAGATTTCTTTGAAGCCTCTGCAAAGTTCGTAAACGACCTTTCTCATATGCGGCACAAGAGTAAAGATCCTCAATGGTCGAACGCATCGCAATATCATCAGCAGCTGCGCCCCAGAATTTGGCGGTACTCTCTTCGGCATCCAGCACAAGAACACAAGACTTACCTTGCCAACATTTTTATACACGTTAGAAAAGATTGTGTTTCGATTTTATTAAATTTAAATAAGATATTCGATACACATTTTTATACGCACGATGTAGATAAAGACGTCCAGTACGGAAGCGACGTCTTTGATGTAGGCTTTCGGCGTGAAGAACAGACCATCCGCCAGGATTTTGAGCGCTAATTCGATGCTCATGCAGATAACAAAACCGTATTCGGTGATTTGCAGTGCCGGTGTTTCCATCACGCGGTATCGTGGGGTCTCGAACATCATCGAGATGCACGACAGTGTCGTGATGAATATCATCACCCAGTCGAGGTAAGTGACTAAACCGAGAAAATTGCTGAAACAGCAGCGAGGGTTTCGCTCAATTTAATTTTGTCTCACTTCATCACATGTTGCGACGGTAGAATTGTTTCTTGATCACGCGACACTTACTGCAGACTCTTGTATTGCACTTTCCTTTCCTTGCCCGTTAAAGGATCCTTCAGTCTCGCGTCGTATCTCGCGTAGACGAACAGCTGACAATATTTTCGGAATTTACTCTCGCGGGGTACCGCGAACAACGGCGTGTCGAAGAACGGATGGTTCTCCCGCAAATCGTCCTCGCGTTGATTTCTGATAGAAAAAAAAAAAATACGTTAGAGACTTATACAGCAATTTCCCTAATACTTGAGCGTAATTTAGATTACCTTCGCATTTCCGCCTGTTGTCTCTTAGCTTGCAGCAATTTGATATCTAAATCGTGCGGCCTGCTGCGCGCCGAACTGACTCTGTTTATCCCGCCTATGTCGCCGTTCTCCATAAGATGCTCGTACGTCTGCTTGAGTTTGATCGATCCACTTCGCACGCTCCTTCTGATCGATCTATTTTTGTCACGTCAACCGTGAATAGATAAAAAGAAACGTAGAATAAGTGAAATTATTCTACTTTTACAATTTAAAAAAAAAAAAAATGTAGATAGATATTTTAATTTGTTCTTTGGTTTGTTATTCTTACTTTTTCGGATCGATACGAAGCTGCTTGGTGCTGTTGACAGTAGTCTGTGGCTTTAAGAGTCCTTTTCCCGGCACCGGGATCATAGCGGAGTCTCCCAAGAGAAGCCTCTGGTTGTTCGAATCGCTATGAAACACGTACATATAGATGTATTATCGATTAATTCGCAAGAAACAAAATTTAAAAAAGACCAGTTATATTTACTTGATGATGTAAATAACAGCCGCTTTCTTCAGATTAGTAACGACGCTCCTCACTTTTGGCGGATTATTCAAGATTTTAACCGGACGTTGTTTTCTGTACACTATTTTTGAATCGAAAGTCTCGTAAGTTCTTTTAACACCTTCATTTTCTTCATCCTCCACTTCGAGCACGAATTGTCGCATAAAGCTTTCGCGCACCTTGGGAAAGATTATTTGAGAGTGAGATGTTAATATCACAATAATATCAATCAAGGGAGCGATATATCACTTCTTCACAAATTTCTACCTTTGGTAGATTGAAATCCGACGGCACTTTGTGAAGACACGTCATTTGGGGACTGTCCGGAAACTTCTCGAAGATCCTCAGTCTGAACGGTAGACTCTCTTTTATCTCGGCACTTTGTTCGCGAAATTTTAACTGTTTCAACTTTTTGATGTCTTCGTCCAGCTCGAGATTGTCAAGAATCACCGCGACGAAAAGACTCAACACAATCTGAAGAAATAATTTAAGATCTTCGATTAATATTGAAGAAGGGAGCGATTACTTGCCAATACGCGATAATTACCAATGTGACAAAGAGATGATACAAAATAAAATAAACTGCGACCAGAGGCGCTACCGTCTCGTGAGTTCGCAACATAGTCTCGTCCATGACGTCGACCCAAGCTTCTTGCGTGAGGATTTGAAACATCGACATGAACGCCTGAAAATTTATGCTTTGAATCTCGAAATAAAGATATGTCACGCGACATCAAAATTGTTGAAATATAAAGCGACTTACTTCGGGAAAGGTTTCGAATTTAGTGAAGTCACAGAGAAAGCAGAAGAGTTGCATGGATATGCTGGAGGATATTACCAGCAGGCACATGGTAAAAATGATGAGGCTGCCGAGCTTCTTGCCGGGCGCGAAAATTTTGTAAACGAAGTCTTCTAACATCGGCGACGCTTTAAGAAGCCGCACTATCCTGAGAACCTTTTTATTAAAAAAAAAAAAAAAAAAAAAAAAAAAAAAACAATAATGATGCATAAAAAAAAAAAAAAAAAAAAAAAAAAACAATAAATCACATTAAAAGTTTTTTGACACCACACGTTCACACAAATTTTATTTGAGAACTACGGAAGTATCAATCAAGTGAGATTTTAACGCGTGCAAACAGCATACGTATAAAAAGCACAGATTCCCAGAAAAGAAAACACAATAGTAAAGAGAAAGCAACGCGAAAAACAAAGATTCAGTTAAAGGATAGAAACCTGAAAGAAAGTGAATCCAGAGAGATAGAAGAATGGAATAATGTGCACAGTTGTGCCAATGGCAAGCAGCAGTTCGAATTTATGAATCGAATGCTTAAAGTAACTCCGGAAGCCCAGGCACCATATCTTGAAGAGCGTCTCTAGGTCCAACAATATCGTGAAGAAGATCTCGGCCCAGTAATAATTGTTGTAATATGTGTTCCTCGGTTTCTCGTCGTGTTTGAAGATCATGGTCGCGGTAGTGATACCGTTTGCCAGAATCACGCACATCACCACCGTGCGAAAGGCTGGCGACCTGAGGACATTGTTACAGATCGGAGAAGCTAGACCTCCGTGCTTATTCTCGTCTAACGGCACTAATTTCCAAGCGTTGTCGTCGCCGGTCAATATCTAAGTAATAACAAAAACATTTAATCGGACGTTAAAGTGCACGTTGAATGAGAACGTCAAATTTTTCTTAAAAAAAAAAAAAAGATACTTTGTGAAGAATCACGTTCTAGCTGACCTGCGACGCTGAGCTGTTACTAATGTGGCCCCTGACACCCCACATTTGCTGGAACTGCACTCGGATTTCGTTGAAAGTCTCCGTGATAACGGCAATGAAAACATTCTTCACTAACCAAGCCAGGAAGAATATCATCGTGCTGAAGTACAAAATTGGACGCCACGCCGGCAGACTGTCGATCGCGCGATACATGATGACGACCCATCCTTCCTGAGAGGCCGCTTGGTACACGGTGAAGATGCTTGTGGCTAAACAGAATAATTTTTTAATCAAACTACATAATTTTAGACACAAGTTGCAGTGGAAAAGAAAATAACAATTTGTAATGTTTCATACTTCCAAAAGCTATAGCACTATTACTACAATCGTAACGCGAATAAAGCAATAAACTGCTATATTACGTGAAGATATGAATTGTAGGATGCAAGATGTAAAGAAATGTGTGTTTTATGAACATCTCTAAATTTTTAAATTATTTAAATTAGTTTTGCTAAAGTTTTTACTGGGATTATCCAATCGGAAGTGTGACAAACTGTTGGAAAACACAAATTCAAGGCGCACAAAGGGAATCACGACGGGGGAACGTAGTTATTAACATTAACTACCAAATTCGTCAAATCCATTGAAGCCTATGATATACTTGGACAACTCCAGCTTCATGCAGATCATTCTCTCGGGACACTGATAACCGGACTCCAAATCGGTGGAACAGAACGTGTCGGGAATAGCCAAGCTGTTGATCGTGACATAATTGGGTTCTGTCACGTTCAACACGCAGTGATTTTTCAGCTCGCCGAAGAATTGTACACCCAAAAGACCGTAGAGCGACATAAAGAACAGGAAAAAAAGCGTTACGTTGTAGATCTGCTGGCTCGAGCGTCTAAAAAATAGAAATAATTTTATAAAGTTGCTTGAACAATCTTTTTGAATGCCAGCGCGCTACATCACGATGACAGAAATAAATTTTCTCACTTGAAAATTTGGTTAATTCTGGCTTTTGGCATCGAAAATTTGAGGAAGACTCGAAGAAAGCGTATCATAATCAGCGGTCGTGGCGCCCGTATGATCGAAGCGTAACTGAACTTTATGAGAAAACCCAACATCTCGAACATTTGCAGAACCACAGACAGCCAGAGAACGATCACCATAAACGCATCGAATTTACACCAATGGTCCTTTAAGTAAGACTTCTCCCTCTGCAATGTAAATTTTTTTTCTTTGTATTTTAGATCGAACATCAATCTTAATAAGTTTCTCCAGAATTAATAATAAAATAATAATAGAGAGAAAGGAGAGACAGAGAAAAAAATTTTACCTGTAATATTCCTCGTATATACATTTTGGCGATCATCTCGGCGGTGAATAAAAATGTGACTACCAGATCGCAAATGAAAGTAACATATCGGAAGAACGGTACTCTCTCAAAAGTTTTTGGGGTGTTCAAGCAAACGGAAGCCAACGAGACTAGGGCACAACATCGCATCAACCTCCTCACCCATAACTGAAATCATACAATACAAAACACAAGTAATATCAGAAAAAGATCTAAAAGTAAAGAAAAACTTTTTCGAAATTGTAAACTTTCTCTCTCCGGGTGCTTACCTTGTTGACCCACTCTATATCAGCGCTCTCATTGAGGGACTCCTCCGGACCGTAATCGGCCAGGACGGGTTCCCCCTTGAGGCTCTGCTTCCGCCCCAACATCATAACAGGGACTATGTTCGCAATGGTGAGGCCTAAAAGTAACGAATGAAAGATCTTATCAGAAAATACTTCTTTTTTATCGTACAAAACTTAAATATACAAATTTCTAAATCTTATTGTTCACAGAAACAACATCAAATATATATTTTCTAACAAGAAATTCTTTTTTTGGAGACACATTTGCGCGAAGTTAACGTCTTAATAAAAATTCTCCAAGACATCAAGATTTGTGAGATTATTAAGAAACTGAAAAGAGGAAGGGCACACAAATTTTAATTTTAAATACTGTGTTAAGTAAATAATAAATTCATATTGTTTTTAACTCATTTTGGTGAAACTTCACTTTTTTTTTTAAACAGAAAGTTATTCTGGATAGCTTGCAATTTGTGCAATGCGCGAAAAAATTATAACAACAAATGAGATGATAAATCTTTTCACTTGGAGAAACCGGATTTTTAAACACTGTAATTCAAAGGATATTCAATGGTTTTGAAACACACATACATACACACACGTTTTCTCTCTCTCTCTGTCTGTATATATATATATATATATATATCTAAGTGTACAATAATAACAATTCATGATAACACTTTTAAAACTCAGAGCAACATTTGAAAAATCCAAAATAATTGTACATCCATATCATATATACACTATTGCACATTAAAAAAATGTCATTTCTCAAGTTATCAATACGAAGGAACAATACAAAATATTGCATCACAATGAAGAGACTGGTAACAAAAGAAAAACTTAATCCGCTCGTAAACAAATCCTTTTGATATTTACGAAGATCGACATGTTGTTTTGTGCATCGTTGAGGATGGATTCACCTTTCTTTTAGCTGTTCACGGAACGACGGATGCTGCCTTTACGGCAATTCCTATAGACTACATCTCGGTATAAAGCAACGGTAAAGCTCAACGTGTAATAAACATCTCAGAGGTAATAACAAGCTGGCGATGTCGCGACGAACATGTTTCGGCCGTGTCGCCAGCGGTCCAGCACGGCCGAAAGTCTGAGCGAGCGGGGCATGAGCAGTCGGGCGCTCTTCTCCTCTCAAGAAAATCAATATTTCACTATTTCTAAGCCCGCGAATTTCTAGAAATCAGAGATTTATATTGTTGCTGAATCATATCGTGCCTTCAACATTTTTGTTGATTTTCTAAACGAGATCTCTAACACAGTTAAGTTTGCATCATTGGAGATATTCCAAAAACAAGTGTTAACACATATGTTGACGCTACAGTTCTTCTCCGTAGAAACTGAATACCGTGTAAAAACATGGGAGTGGAAAGGACGATGTTTCTTCATTTATTTGTAAAATTTTAAACGAGCTAGCAGTAGACTGTAAATTCTTAATCTTTTTGCGCAAATATTTTTATTAATGTATAAAATTACATCACTTTTTTATTCTATACAAAATATCTTTAATCACATATCAATATTAATAGATATTCTAATTTTAATATCAATTAATATGATATTTGTTTCGATTTACATTCAGAAGTCTGAGTCAGTTTAATTGTTTTAACTTTCATAAACTTACATTGTTCTATCAATATATTGCTCAATATAAATTGTCGCTCTTTAATCGCAAGTCAGATCTCTTAATTGTGTTACGCGTTTTTTTCTGCGACAGTCATTAATTTCGAAAACTCGGAATCCGGTTGAGAGAGAAGTACGGACGGCACGTCGAATTCGACGACTTTGCCATCGCTCATAACGAGAATACGGTCGCACGTGACAACCGTCTGCAACCGATGAGCGATCGTAAGTACTGTGCAATCCACAAAAACATTTTGCAGAGTGTTTTGTACTGTTGCCTCAGTTTCCGGATCTACCGCGGCTGTCGCTTCGTCTAAGATCAGCACCTAAAAATTAAAATAACACACACTTTAGTTAGCATTTAATTTCACTGAGAGAGAGAGAGAGAAAAAAAAATCTGAGAAATCTGTTTTAAATGTACAAAATCATTCAGAGATTTATAAATATATCAGTGTGTTACTTTAGTGCTGTGTAATAAAGCTCTGGCTAGACAAAGAAGCTGTCTTTCGCCGACGCTCATATTATTTCCGCCGAAACCGACGGAAGCGTCCAGATTTCCCGGCATGAGGGACACCTTATCTTTCATTTGAGTCTTTTCGAGAGCGCTCCAAATGTCGCCGTCATTATGCCGTTTGAAGGGATCCAAATTTGATCTGCAAAATAATGCAATTAGAAAGAAAAAACTTTTATACACAAAACTTGCCGATGAAAAATTTATACACCTTATCGTTCCGCTGAACAAAATTGGATCCTGAGGAATAATCGACAGTCTATTTCTCAATACATCTAATTCTATCTTCGAGATATCAACATCGTCGATTTCAATGACACCCTCGCAAAACTCAACTAATCGGTACAGAGCAACGATCAAAGAGCTCTTACCAGATCCTGTGCGACCCACAATGCCTAAAATAAAATTGATCTTCTGCGTGGGAAAGTACAATCGAATTATTGTTTGTATATATTGGCGAGATGTGTTACCTATTTTTTCTCCAGCCTTTATACTAAACGAGACATCAACTAGCACAAGTGGTAATTCTTCCCTGTATCTCAATTGAACGGCCTTGAACTCTATTTTGCCGCGAGAAGGCCAATTATCGTCTGGTTTAACGGTAACTGTTTTGCTTGCACCTTCTCTTCGCAAAGTCTGTATAAAAAGCGAGCAATAAAATTGAGATAAAAATAAGCAATATATTATCTGAACCAACTATTATTTAGATATTACAAAACCCTCAATTACACAGAAATGTATATATTTACTCTGAGATAGTGACTGATTCTTTCTACGCTAATGAAGCGCATTTCCGTCTCGGACATCAGTCTGACGGTGTACTGAAAGATGCCGGTCATCTGGGTGGCGTATGCCATAGCCAGACCGGCAAAAGCCGGCGATATTTCGTTCTTAAACCAGATTACAAATAGCGCGATTATACAGGACGAGGCGATTACCAAACTGTCCAGTCTCACCGAGGACCATCTCATCGCGGCTTGGCACAGATACTGACACAAGTTATTCGTGTTGAATAACTCCTCGAATCTGTGTCAGAGAAACAATGCGATTCAATTGTTGTAGTTTTTTTTTTTTTTCTATTAATGTGTCTTTTATTAGCAAATAATCACCTATATAGAAAATTCTTTTCTTTTTGAAACGCGTGAATTGTGTTCAAACCTTGGATCGTCGTTGTGACGAAACTTACAACGGGAGATCGCGAGACATTCTCCATTCTCTTCAAATCCCTCATGCCTATCCTGCGAAAATAAAACAGATAATTGTCACCTTCTTCTGTCGTACGTAAACAATATATACACATGTAAGATGATAATACTTACCTGAAAAATTTGCTAACGATAAAAAAGAGCACACCAAACACGAATAACGGTAATATGAACCAATGCAAGACGGCGCAAATAAATAAAATAGCAAAACTACAAGTAAAAATATTTTGCACCATGTTTTCTATCGATATGGGTAAATAATTATCAACTGAAAAAGTCAGAAAGCAAATTAGCCAACAAGTATTAATTCGTCGTAGAAAATCGTTTGAAATTAAGCAAAACTCACTTTCGTCTACATCTCGACTGAAGATATTTTGTATTCTGCCACTCGGAGTAGTCTCGAAAAATTGTAAAGGGGAATTAATGATTTTGTGAAAAAACGAGTTGTGTAACGCGGTTGAGGCTCTTATCGTTGCGAACATGATGGCAAAGCCGCGAAGGAAGCTCGTCAGCAGTATGACAGCGATACACGCGGCGTATATATTTTTGTAATATGAAAAATCAGGATTAGCGTTTATATTGTCCGAATATGTCGTATCATTGCTGCCGGGAACAGTGACGTTCTGAAAATTTGTATAAAATTAATTCATACAAATATTGTCACACCAATATATAAAACAATAATGAAATAAAATACTACTCACACCCCCGCCGGCTTTAATCCATAAAGCGAGCCACCAGGTACTGAAGGCTGAACTGCCCACATTCAGGAAGAACATCAGGAAGACAAAAATCGCCATAAGATAACCACCAGTGGCGTGTACATACGTGTGATAAGTGTGCAACTTGACAGCTCCGGTTTCAGCTTTTTCCGTTACCGTTAAAATTGCTCCTGAATTAAATAACAAAGAAAAAAGCTATTAGAACTCAAATAGTTATATTTCTCTAGAAAGTTGATTTCTTGAGATGAGCGCGCGCCTCAAACCTTTGTTCAATTTTTCCTTCTCAGTATTTTCTATGTGTCTCGAGTTTTGAGACGTGGAAGCGCTGACGATATTCTGCCTTGCTTCCGTGGATCTTTCACTGCGTGTGAAGAAGTGAAGCTTAAAGTGTTTTTCGAACATTTGCACATTAGAATATTATCTGTATAATATTTGTTAAACATACGCTGATGTATTTTCCTCCGCCGCGATTATGCTGCTCTTCACCATCGACGCGTATTCCCTGTCGAGTCGCATGAGATCCTCGTGGGTTCCATGTTCCACAATCCTGCCCTCACTCATCATGTAGATTTCATCGCAACGTTTTAAAAACTATACAATAAACAAATGCGTAACATTTGTCACATCAGTTTTCAAATGTAACATACGCTGTGTTACAAAATTATTAATAATACATATCTCGTAAATATCAATTAAGTAAGCACCTGAATATTGTGCGTCACGAAGAGAACGGACTTGTTTCTAAGACCTTCGAGAATCAAATTCTCAAATATGTAAGAACCAACGTACGCATCAACGGCGCTCAAAGGATCGTCAAGAAAGTAAATGTCTCTAGAACGTAAGATCGCAATATTTATCACATCTTTCGCCGATAATTTTTGTTTGAAAGAATAATTGCAAACGTGTGCTCATACCGATTAGCATAATACGCTCGCGCAAGTGCGACTCTCTGCTTCTGCCCTCCCGACAAATTGATTCCTCTTTCGCCGATCTCCGTGTCGTCTCCTCCCGGCAGCATGTTGAGATCGTCCTTCAAATCGCAGATCGTAACCGTGTAGTAATAACGTCTGGCATCGAAATTCTCGCCGAATAAGATGTTCTCCTTGACGGTGCCATTTATGATCCACGCTTGTTGACTGACATAAGCGCAAGTGCCTTCCCGCAGAATCTGTCCCTTCGTCATTCTCAACTGTCCCAAAGCTGCCAGTAGCAAACTGGACTTACCGCTGCCCACATGGCCGCAGATACCGACGAGTTTTCCTTTTGGCGCGCCAAAGTGAATATCGCTGAGTACCTCGACGTATTTCGCTTCCTGCGTCGGTTGACTCAAGCTTTCCAATTCCATCGGATTGTCGGCGATCGTTGCGATTTTTTTCCTACAATTAAGAGCGGAAGATAACCGTCTCTCTCTACGAACAGAAGTTATTATAAATCGAATATTTACTTCTTTTTATTGCTGACCGATGCATCCGTTTGAAGCTTCATGCTATCACAAACGAAGGTGCCATTAGCAATCGCAACTGCTTGCGATCTCACAATCGGTTTCGACGCTGGATAATTGCATTCTTCCAACAGCAGCACGTCCTGTAAATATCGTTTTTGTTGTAGTTAACTTATTGTCGTTCGTTCCATTTTCGAGGAGAAATTAAAAGCGATCGTATGTACAACTATTGGAACATGGCATTGACGTTATAATTTATTTCACAGATAAATAAAAGCAATGATACGGAATATATGCGTGTCTGTATAAATTTTAACGTTATTTAATAATACAAAACACATATATACGAGAATTAATTTTCTAAGATTAATATTAAATATATGCTAATCTTATTTACATAATTGTTATGTGACACACAAGCAAAGCTGGACAAGCTTTTAATGTGAGACAAAGTGGGATTGTAATGTTATCAAGCGAATATATGTGTTAGCAAAATGAGAGCTGATTGTTAGTCGGTCACATCGGAACAGTGTCAAGGTGTTCGAAAACATGTGCAAAAAAAATTATATGCTGCCATATAGATCGCGCAGTTCCAGTAGATATTCGTAAAGACGAAGATAAACACCTTTATCCTGCCAAAAGTTATCTTTACTGCAGTGATATTACTTAAGGCCACTTGTACAAACATGAAAGAAGTACGAATTTGAGCATTGAGCACCGATACGAAGGGAAAAACCTGGAAAACGAAAGGCAATGTAGAATTAAAGAAACTTGTTACGCTCGTCATATTGCCACTCATCAAGAGCGTAAAAAACAAATTAAAAAAAAAATCGTTGCAACTTCGTATGCCCAGCAATATTTGCAGCTCGCTGTGAAACATATGTTTGCGCCAGATACATGTAGTCACTAAGAGCCTGTTCGAATGTAACAGAATATTATATATTTATAAAGCATGCACAGGGGTAGGAGATCACCCATCACGTTTGCTTGTGCTTTATACACATTTGTTTAAAAGTACATATTATTACAAGAATAGCGTCCCTAATGTTTCTCCTTTCATAAACGTTTAAATACGATTTTAGTAAAAAAAATTAGAAGATTTTAGTAAAAAAAAAAAAACTACGTTAATTTAAGCAAAATTACATTATATATATATATAATCTCTAAAACTAATACTACTCTTCTAATAATAAGTACGAATATTCGTTATACTATAATTAAAGAAAAGCTGTATGTGAGAAATCAATAAAAAATACTGGAAACCTTAAATCTTCTAAGAGCTATGAGAGCGCTGATAAAATATCGCGTAGTATCCTTAAGAGACGTGAGTGCCAGTCTAAGCAAATTTCCGTATAATGTAGTCATTGGGAAAGCCTGTAATGTATAATCGATTAAGTGCAACATACACTGTTGTAGAATTCAAGAAAAAAACTCTCGCGATACATATACATATATATAAGGGTTGCGAATATTCATACATAAGGTGTAAACAGCGCTAATTTAAGCGCGCCTCTGTTTCACAGGCGTTTTTATCATCATATCGAATTTGTTTATCTATTGAATTGCAAAACATTATTTGATTTCTCCTAGCACAGACAAGATCAGAATTATAAAATTGTTACAAAACTGTTGTGAATTTTGAAAAAAATAAGGGAAGTATATATTAACGTGTGTTTTTTCTATTCTACCTGTGCAGCCGTTAATCCGCTGCCTGAAGCAACGTGCGATAAAAAGGTAACGATCGCCGATATCACAGGTACAGCTGGTGTCAGAGAAATGCTAAGGCTTTGAAAATACGCGTTCTTATGAAGCCACCGTTCCTCTTGCTTGCGAATATCTGAAAAACATGATTTTCCATTTATTTATTTGTTAACAAACAAGTTGTTGTAATTATGTATATTGGATTATGCTTCCACCAAGAAGTTTCCGGCCAAAATATCTCTCCCAAGAGTACATCTTGATCAATTTTATGCATTCAAGAATTTCGCTTATCAGCCGTACTCGAGCGTCCGTGATGGTTACGATTTTCGAACGAAAGTAAGTGGCCGCGCGAGAAATGAGGTACTGCATAAACAATGAAAAAAATAACGCTGCGCTCTTTGTCAAAGTGTGTGACGATGATCTACACGAGTCATCTTACCTGACACGGATAAAATGATATAAAAGCTATCATTCCTACTATAGCAATAGGTTCGAAAAACCACAACACGTAACCTACACCGCAACTGATGACTATTGGTCCGCTAATAATCATCGGTCCATAAATAATTACGTCGAAAAGCCTTTGACTATCGTTACAGAATAAATTGATCACCTAAAAGATAAATCGCAAAATGTAACACATCGAGAAAAAGAGCTCGTCAATTCACATTTTTGAAGCCGCGAAACAAAAATTACTTACTTCTCCTGTACTTTTATTGCCAAGGTTGTTCAGTCTGATAATCTTCTTGTATAACAGAGCTGTGCAAGCTGCTTTTAGCCGTAATCCAGTTTTGTAGTTCATGTTCCACGTCCACGTGAAGAAGAACGCGCGCAAGGAATCGCACAGTGTCAGTAACAAAACCCATTTCATGCCGTCCCAGAAATTCTCTTCTGGAGACTCCACGTGGTCTAATATCTTCCTCATCAATATTGTCTGAATAACAATATTGTTTTTTTAATTCAAACGTCTTATTCATTTAATATTCAATCGTCGCGTTCTGAGGGGAGAAGAAAGAATCTTACTGGACTTATAAATCCGAAAATAAGGGAACAACTTAACAAACAGCACGCTACACAAACTCTTGTGCGTACGAATCTCCATGCGACCATAGAAAACGAGGCTGCATTAGGGCCGTTTTTGGTCAGTTCCTGTTGCCAAAGTACATCGAGTCTAAAAACATAAAATTATTCATGCTCGTATGCGCTATGAGCAAAATCTCAGGATACGTAGAATGGTACGAGAATTACCTGAGTGCGTTGTATTCGCAACTCTCGTATATCGAAATGCTTGGCAAGTCTTGTATTGTCAGTCCTTTCTTATAAGCCTTCCATAAATACTTGGTCATCCATGTTATGTACACGTAAGAAAATAATCCAGCATTATCTGATGGTGATGTTTCTTTATTCCTATAAGAGAGTAAGATTTTACTGTGTTGTTATTTTGGAACGTTGTTACATCGTTTATTACTCATTTATTACTCATTTATTAATGTTTATTGTTTATATCCTAAATAGATGCGCTGTTAAAACTCTCTTCTCATTTCAGTACAAAATTTAATTTGCAATATACGTACTGATTTCGGTATCGTACTGGTATTAAATTACTCAGAGCAGGATTGTACTTCTTCATCCCAGATCTTGGAATATATTCTTTACCTTGTCTTGTTGCACTTCCCGTCTTTGGTAACATAGATTGTTGTTGTCTCTCATCTTCTGAAGATCTAGGGAAGAATTGGAAGAAGTTATCGAAGAGTTTCTCAAAGTCTCAAATTTTTTAATTTTAAATAACATTTTTAATTTTAAATAACATCCTTATAAACTAATTTAAAAGTATTTTATTAAGTATTTTTTTTTTTTTTTTTTTTTTTTTTCATAAGAAAAATTCCTGATAAGATAATTCCGCACCTTGTATCTTGTTGTGCGTTGTTTTCAGTCTTTTCGTCATAGCTGTACGTATTACTTTCTTCAGTTTTTTGACCCATCGTTTTAAAACGTTCTTTTCACTCTGCAATAATGAAAATAATACCGACGACTAGAAAACTTGAAAACTTATATTTTATGTAATAATCAAGAAGTTCTCGAGATACAATAAAGATAAGGATCTAATCTTGACGAAGACATCTCGTCGTGACGATAGTAAAAAATCGCATGAAGATAAAAACATAGTCGTGCAATCAACAAAATACAGAGTATACATTTTTGTAACTTATAAAAAAAATATGTGTATATTATTTAAACAAAAACATTAAATCTATTTTACAATACTCATCGTATGAGTTGCGTATATAATTAAAACCTAATATTTTAAAAACATAATTAAAGATAATATTTTAATTATATTACCTTGCATCTAGTTTCGCCAACACAGATAGAAAATTGTTTATTTTTTTTTTCTTTATTGTTATTTTATAGTTACCTCACTAACTAGTTATATAGCCGCGTGATTATTTGTCGTCACACTTGACGAGAGAAGTAATCATCAAGTACGACAGCATGATACTGATAACATCGAGGCTTAATACCGAACATCATTTAATAAGGTGAACAAGGTGGGTACTTTTTGAATTTCCGCCTATAGACTACTGAATCCATATCAGAAGGAGGGGAGATTTGGCACGCTGTGCGTGTCGTACACATGTATGGGTGTACATATATATCTATATAAACAAGCACGCGCTCTTGCTGAAAGTGCCGAATCGTTTACGAACGAATGAACATCATGAACGCGATACAAAACGCGGACAATGTAATGACGACATTTGACACTTTACGCCGCACATGACGTTTAACCGACGTTCGACACCGATCGATGTCAATTCACTCATGTCATTCCGACCAGAGTCTTTGAGTCACAATTAAATTCCGTTGCCACTGACTTGCCAGGTAATAATAGTTTCTCTTCTCCTTTTTTGGCAGTCGCAACTGGCACTGTGTTCTGACATATCGAACTAACAATGTTCGAAACCGTGTCGAAAATGAGACTCACCGAGGCAATACCGGTTTCTTCATCCGACTGCGGTAAAGCTTGAAAGCGACTCCGGGTCAATGCGCTCTCGAACGTGAAAGAAAACACGGGCGGATCCTTGATTGAAACGATTGTTCGCTTTGTTTCTTGAAAAATCGTAGGCGGGCATCCGTCATATCCGGATTCACAATCCAAGTGTTTGCGATGTACGGTGATTACTTTCCGTCGGACGCGCTTCCGTTTGGAGGTGCGATAAAACTCAGCGTGCATGATTTACTGAATAAATCATGATCGAAGTATTTATACATACGCTTCTCACACATAGTTGCGTGCGTGTCGTATGATTCGCTCATACAAAAAACTACATACAGGGTGTGCGTAAAATAATTAGTCTCAATATTATTGACTATGTTGCAATGTGTTTGGTGGAACAGACGCGTTTATTTAATAGTATAACTTTTTTTGACTGGTATAGAAAAAATAGATGAATTTTAGATTAGACGAGACTTTACAAATAATAAATATCAAGACATCTATTGATAAAAATGAGTGGATCCTTGGATGTAGGTAAGGTCTTTTTGAAATGTGACAGATCAAGGTCTTTGATGTAGATACAGAGCTTGTGGATGTAATTATTTCAATGGATGAATTTTTTGTGGACTTGTATCTGTAAAATTTATAGGACGTTTGATAATTTCAACATATCTTGTGCGCAGACAAAGTTTGCGTAACAACACAAATATAAACAAGTGAATCTTCAAACTTTATTTACATTTGTGTTGTTTAACACAAAGGAATCACGATTGATACATCTCTTGGTTTTTTTTCTGATTTTAATGTTTTTTTATTCAAATATCTTATAGAATATAAATCAAAGCTAAATTTTTGTATTTCAAGTTACATACAATCAATACTACCAACTGATCGGTATCTTGTTAAGATGTGTTTACATCGATAAGAATTAATAATTTTTATCTCAAGATTATATATAGTTATATAATACATTACCGCGTCATAACGAGTGTGGTGAATGCAAATATTCCTCAACTTAATATTTTGCGCATTACAGTAAGATATACATACAATACACAGCAAAATTTGTTGAGGCGAAGTAATCAGTCATGTATATGTTACATTTGTATATCTTTGCGCTACATGTAGCTCGACGCATATCGACATCACGTCTAAATTCGAAATCAAAAGCTGTTACACAACACGTAATATGCTTCTCTGTACGTGTTATATAAAATTATTATCCTAAATTATTTGATTATCATTCTACTTATTATTATATAAGTGATCGTGTGCGTCGTCATGGGAAAGAAATACTCGCACGTGTACACATCTTTCTTTGGTGTGTATGTATTTCTCCCAGAGCAGAGGGAGCAGTGTCAACTAACTCCGGTTAAATTTAATTATTCGATTAACTCAATGGAATCAATCATATTACATCGATTGGTCGGTACGTAATTGATTAACTCTTCTGAGTTCGATAATCGGGAGTTGGTTGACTGGGTCCTTCAGGAGGTGTATCCTGGATATAAGTTTAACCTAATATTGCCCAAATAAAAATAAATTATCTTTCTCTTATTACTCTCCTCTGAATCTTCGTAGTTCGTGTGGACGACGTACGATTGTCTGTTGTAGTTATTCATTTCAAAGAAACAACGTGAAACGAAGTTATCAGAATTAAAAGCAAAAGTTGCTAATTTGTTACACATTTTTAGAAATAAACCTTTTCCTAATAATTATGAATCGTAAGTTACACGTACTTTTTTATAAAGAAAAGATTAAAAGTACTTGCGTATAATCGAATTAACATCTAACGAATAATTGAAAAACTATATAGGAAAAAAAAAAAAAAAAAAAGGATGAAAGATTAAGACTAATCGACTTAGTGTACTGCATCAGCAGTTACTCAGAGATGTGTCATTTTGACAATCATCACTTTGATTATTTGCATTTATAATCAAAAACGTTGTTTAGCGTTAGAAACGCATGGCCCGATCTCAAAAACTGTTATAATTATTGCCACCCAACTGTGAGTTGAATCCCCTATTGTTCGGTGAGTAACCAGGCCTGAAGTTATTACCTAAGCCTGTGCAACATACACACATATAGATATTAAAACATACAATTACAAAACTTTTTAGATTATAAAAATAAAATTTCAACATTATTTGACAAATTAGCAGACACGTACACGTACCTCCACAGAAATTGCCTATACCGCTTAAAGACATACCACTTGAGCCACTACTAGACGAGTTTAGAAACAACTCGATATATCTGTGAGACATGTGGCTTTTGTCCTACAAAATTAAAACAGAAAATTCAATTCAATTGAAATTCAATTTTTATATATTACAAATGATTTGAGTTCTCTTTGATAAAATAAAAAAATGCAATTCAAACCTTGCTCATAGCTTTGACAGCTTCTTCGTGAGTAGCGAACTCTACATCAGCTTCTCCTGAAGGACGACCGCCATTCTCTAGTATGATTCGGACACTTATTGGTTGAAGCGGTCTGAAGAACTACAAAATAGAATCCAAAATATATTGAAGTTAATCACAAAAAAAAAAAGAAGACTGAAGTTAAGGAAGTTTAGCATTATATCAAATGACTTCAATAATTACATCAGCTATATCCTGTTCTGTTGCCTTGAACGGCAGCCCTCGCATATGTATGCTATGTAAGCCGGAATTGCCGCCCCAAGAATCGTTATTGCCTCTATAATTACCGCCACCTTTCATGTCCATTCCGCCGCGCATCCCCATATTGCCGCCACGAGAACCGTAATTATTTCCACCTCCCCATGGACCATTATCGAAGTCTAAAGTGTGGTCGTAAAATGTATAATAAATCGTAAAGTAGATTGTAAAACGTTTCTCGTAAATTATAGGTACATAAATACATACGTAATGAACTAGTACGCGTATCGGATATAGGATAGTTATCGCGGTATTCTCTTGCACGGAAATCTCCATATCTCGATAGATGATGAAAGGAATCACCTCTATTTCTGGAACCTCTGCCATTGCTGAAACGATTCACCCCGCCGAAGCGATCGCCACGGGTATATGGCGCGGGCCTCTGATTAAAGCCGCCCATGGGACCGCCGCGCATTTTAGGCCCAATACTGGCACGTACTTCGGATAAACTGCTTCGGAAGATCTCGATGTATCTGTTAATAATTGAGGATCGCGTTAGAGATATGCAGAACAACATGTCAGCTGAATAAATATCATCATCTCTTCCTTATCATGATCGTTATCATTGTCACCATACATTGTCACATAAAAAAACAAAATCAAGAGAACTTGACAAGACTGTACATTTACTTAATTCGTGAGATCACAAATAGTGAGAGACAAGAAAAACAAAACAGTGACATTATGATACATTCAATATAAATATATAGAAATCAAAAGTGGAAAGTACAGGAGCTGTTTCTGCAGTAGTGAGAGATTTTATCAATTATTTATGTTTACAAGAAAAAAAAATAAAAAAGAGAAACTCGTGAACAACACTTTGGCGTTAAAAAAAAAAAATTGAGATTTATTGTGTGACAGAGCAATTGTGTTTATACTAAACCTCCGCATTCTTTATTAAACCTGCGAAGAGAGACCCTCCCACGACGAAATTGCTTCCCGACGTACCTACGTCACACGTACCCCACGTAAGCCCATGCGACGCCGACGATCTTCAGGCAAGCCACGCTCACAAGTGCACATTCGGTGGATAAACATTTTTAATATATAGATGCAAAACAATATCTATCTGATAAGCATCAAGATATGCAAATCCCGATGCATTTGAAAATAATTATCTTCAAGTAAATAAATGTTTATTCACAGAAAGAGATGCACTTATGGGTGTCCCACAGATGCACCATATTGAATCGACGGCTAATTCTTTGCAGTGCTCACCGAGCTTTGGCTTGCCCTACCCACCTCCCATGGGATTCGGTGATGATGGTAAGGGGCTACCACCCGCCCCCCAGCACCCACCCACGGGTATAAGTTGGGTCCACAGTACTTGCGCTTACGTACGACTACCTAATTGTAATTCTGTTCTCGAGAAAGAGAGAGAGAGAGAGAGAGAGGCAGTTTCTTTATATTACAGAATTACAAAAGACAGAATTCTCCGGTAATCCTCTTTTTCTCCGGTAAAAACAATGCAGATTTAATTTGACATTCTGTGAATCGTCGACGAGTTCTTTTATTTTTGTATACACAATTGAAAAGTTTTACTCGAAGTACGTCGGAAGAAGTAGAAGTACGTCGCGGGATCTTTCAAAATGTGTAACATAAATGTTTGCATAATTGTTTTTTTTTTTTTTTTTTGCAGTGAGAAATCCTCTCTCGCGAAGGTCGAAATAAAGAAGCTGCATCCGTATTGTAGAAATTTCCCACTATTTACTAAAATGATATACATATACCTACATGTATACTACGATCATTGATATAAATATGATATGGAAAAGTCATAAGTATACCCAAACCCATCATAGCTATATCTTCCAGTTCCCCACCTGTGTCCTATTTTTTCTTTGTGTTTTTGTAGGGCGCGTTCCGCAACATCTTTGTTTACAAATTGAACGTAAGCCTCCCCAGTACTGCGGCCCGTGTAGTCTGTCGGTAGCGATATTCCATTCGGCAAAATCTCCAACCCTGACCCACACATAATCAAACATCGACATTGTAACTTGAGTACCCATTGGGAGAAAGTTTATGGTCAAGTTTTGTTTTTTATTAAAATCCTTATAAAAATAAATTAGACTGTGTTAATTTTACGATTGCTCATATAATCGCATATCTTTCTTTTTTTTTTAATACTTTTCTCTTCGTGCCTCTCCTTATAAAACCATAATGTTAATTAGAGAAATCAAAGTTAAGAATTAAGTTTGATGACCGAGAGTCGCACAACATAATATTCTCAAATTCTGTTTATACAAATTATTAACAACTCTTAGTGGGAATTTAAATCTTAATTGAGATCAAATTGTTGATGTTGGAACACGACATCGATTACAATAAAAGCTAAATTTAATTATCAAACATGCTAATTTGATTTCATTACTTTTAATATCAAATATCTTCAAATTGCAAAATTTACAGTGTAAATTCGCTTTACAACTATTTTATTGCTGTGTTCCTGAGAGAAACTTTTATGTATATGTTCATCTTTGTTTTATGAAAAGGGGACAAAAACAGAAAGAAAGCTACATATCTGAAAAAGATGAATGGGTGTCTACTCAAGGATTAAATGAAATTTCTTAAATGACATTTGATACTGATTAATAAGCATTAATAATAGGGGACAGAAGTTACCATATGTCAAATACCTGAGAAAAACTGTGCTATTTCCTCTTTTGAACAACCAAATGGCAGACCTCGTAATCTCACGCAACCGTCATCCATGGCATTCTCCAGATTAAGGCCACTTCTTTTCACAACCCATTCCATCTCACCACGCTTTGCTTTAAAAACTGAAAACAAAAAAAAAAACAACAAATTATTCTAACAATAAAAACTAAAATGCGCAATAAGATATTAGGAATTTTTTAAATAAAAAAATTTTTAATTTTTAACGTGGAATGCATAAAAAATTTTAATTAAAAATAAAAACCGATGAACAAATCTTATAGAAAAGTTTGTGACAAATGTTTGTATGTTCGAGTAATGTAAAAATTTAACCTTCAATATAGCGATGACCCATGTGATCACGATCTCGTTTGCACGCTTTCTCAATATCTTCAGGTGTATCCATTTCTACATAAGCTTCTCCACTGGGACGTCCCTCACGTGACATGGTCATGTGAACACCATTTTTACCATTGGAAATCGAGCAGTCGCCAAAGAACTTCATGATCTCATCCACTGTAGTAGACCATGGAAGTCCACGCATTTTGACAACATATCCTTCCTCATCATGATCACCACTCCCGCTCGACATGATTTTAATCTAATGTGTACAATATTTTCTTATACATATACAAAGAGCAAAAAAATTATATAGAAAATTTAGTTTACATCTTTACAATTACTTCAGTTAAAACTAAAACATATGCGAAATCTATCAAAAACATATAAAAAATATTAATTATACTGGTTTACAATGAAGTTCTCACATAAAGTTTCTTATATAATTTTTTTATGCAATAAAATCAGAAAATGCTCAAAATCTTATCACTTATAGTTCATTTTTGTGACGGACTTAGAAGGTAATCAAAATAACCTAAATTATATATGTTTATACAAGAAAAACTTTTTTTGAAATTTAAAAATTGAATTGCACAAAAAACTCTTCAAAAGTAATCGAAAACATCTGTTTATATTTCTGTTTATATTTCATAAAAAATTTTATAAATCACATACTTTGATTTATGTAACAAATTTTTGTGAACTAGCGTTTACAGCAATTACGTTTGCAAAATTTTGTAACCTTCCTCATTCACGCGCATCGACAGAACGTTGAATATTATAAAATCATCTACTTACATCGGAATAACGTAAGAAAATAAACGTCGATAAGAATCAGAATGCTGATAACGAGAAATTTGTCGTTCGAGATTTTATCGCGCCTTTGATCTTATTTGCTAGTCACTCATATTTACAAATGCGAGAAACGAAGAAGGGAAGAGCATAGCAACAAGAGGAACGTGGAAAAATTGTTCCAGCAACCGACAAAATCTCGCGACAAATCCTCGACATCCGATCGTCGTACGCAGCCAACTCGAAGCAAAAATCGCGTATTTTAAAGAGATCTGTGCGCCAAGAAAAAATTCACGATGTTAGAATTCACGTATGCGAAAGAAATATGCGCACACGTAAAAACCATCGAGAGAACATGCTCCTCCGGCAGCAACGCGATGATCTTGCATCAGCGACAAAACACGCTGGTTTCGTACAATTCCACATAAAATTGAAGCATCGTGCGTTAATTCGAACTCAAACTTACCCTGCAATCAGCAAAATTTGTCGAGTAACCCCGCAATCGGGTCCAGAATATATCAGTCAGCTTCTACAAAAATCAACACTTCGGAACAAAATGGCGCGTGATCGCTTCAACCAGTTGAAGGTTTGATTTGGTGCGCATGTGGCTTCTGTGTGAACAGCAACGGACAAAGTGAGGGCTATGTCCCATTGAGCGGAAATCCATAGCGGAACGGAATGTGCGGAACCAGCTCGACCAATCGTAACCGCAGAAAAAGCTAAGGAAAGAAAACGGAATGGCTATGATTGGTCGAGCTGGTTCCGCACATTCCGTTCCGCTATATATTTCCGCTCAATGGGACATCGCCCTGAGGATAAGCGTTGTGCGCAGGACAACCCGTTGGCGCTGGCCGTACCAAATGGCCGTCGTTCACAAGCGGACCAATTGCCGAGTTGTCGTTTTGTCAACACTCGACCTTGATTAGTTGGTTCCAAGAGCCTATCACGTTCGATTGCTGACAAAGCAGCTGAATTCAACAAATGACTGTGAAGCAGAGAGGGGCTTTTCGGTATATATAGGCTGTGTTCCAAAATTCACTACCAGCGCTAAAGATCTATAGTTTACGTCACATATATTATACAATTTTAGCACTGGCAGCGTGCTGGCAGCAATTCTGGAACACAGCTATAGAAAATACGCAACAACTCGGTGTGCTATTGCGACACGGGCTTTTATTGGTTCTGAGACAGCAAATCTGATAGGATAGGTTTGCGCCACGTTCCTTCTCACATCGACCGCAGTTCATTGGACCAAGATGCTCGTACGTCGACGGAATTGGACGACGGTTTTCGGTCGCGTTTTCAACAACGCGTGCAATCTGCGGCCGTCCACCAGGTAGTGTTTAGCACAGACGAGAGTCGGTGTGTAAACACGTTGTCGTGTCTTGTGGCGGAGATAGAAGAAGGAAGCGGTGCAAGTCAGTGCAAGTGAAACCGGAACGAATTGCGGACGGTGCAGTGCGCTACGGACGAGTACGGACCTGAACGACACAACGAGTGGTCTGGGGTTGCGCGACATCGGCTCGTCTCCCCGGCACACAACAGTGGTGTGAGATAAGAAAGAGAGAGAAAGAGATAGATAGATAGATAAAGCTTAAAAACCGATCACGCGTGCGAGTGTCCTCGCGGCCGGTTTCGCTGGCGCACATCCTTATCGTCGTCGGGGAAGCCACAACGCATATCGTCGTGTAACATCCGTCCTTTCCTTACGCGCCTACACGAGAAGAGATAGCGTGAATCACGCGACCGAGCGGAACAGACGAGAGAGCGAATCCATCGAGCGTAGCGATCTACGAGTCCGAACGACGAGAGCCCAACCACGATGAGCTTCCTATTGTAAGTTCTCCTTTCATCTCGCGACTTTCCTCTTCACGCCGTTGAATCGAATGGCATTCTTCTTCATTCGATCAATACGCCTCGGGATAGAGAGACGCGAGAACGTCGTGTGACACATAACACGAGAGAGAGTCATCAGGATTCTTCCTCTCTTCGTCTCTTATCAAGTCCTTGACATCTGATAACGCGAATCGACCGCTCGCTCGCACGCACCTTCCGCTCTATCGAAAAAGCTTCATTCTTTGCTTGTTATATTTCACGGGAGATTTTTTGTTCTTGTATCTAATCTACTTAGACTTAGAGCTTATTCGTTCTTCGTAATGGATAAAAGTTCGACGAGGAGTATCCGCCGGTGGGATCGATCGAAGAGATAAAAATAGCGCTCTTGCTGCGCGTGAAAGCTTTTGTGTACAATCTTTTCCCGTGGGATCTATATTATCATGTTTCCTTGAACGTTGAGATTATCACTTGGTGCAGCGCGTAATCTATGAATCATCCGTCTTTGGCGGGGCCGCGCCTTGCTTTCTCGTCGTCGGTAAACGAGCATCGCAACGCCGATGATATATGGTGTCGTCGCTCGCTTTGACGTTCGCTCGATGAATAAACATTGCCGCGCTTTGTTTGTGCGTGTGTCGCGATCAGCTGAGCGTGTTGCTTTCTTATGGACAAGCGTGACCGCGATAATTCTGTTTTCCTCTTTGGCTGCGCCTCTTTTAACACATCCCGCATGCACAATGAAGCAAGCGAATATTTACGCTTCTTTATTTTTCTTTTTTTTACGAAGGAAACATTGCGCGGGAGAGAGTTGGAAAGGTGTGAATTGAAAAGAGAGATCAAATCTATTTTTTTCGGGCTTGTTTGCATTTTTCTTTCACATGTGTGTGTCGTAAAACAAATTTGTAAAATTTAGACATTTGAAAAAGAAAAAAGCAAAATGTTTTTTTTAAGTAACAGGTTAAAAAGAAAAAATGATGTTTTGATTGCATGTGTCATCCGTATGTACAAAAGTGAGAACAAATATTTGTTGCACTTGTTAAGTTAATCAAAAAAAAAAAAAAAAAAA